TGATTGCATTGACTCATTGACTCAAATGCAATCCTTCACACTAAGCATGCTTGTAGCGAAAGTGGAGAGGAAAAACTCCCTTTTAACAGGAAGAAACCTCCAGCAGAACCAGGCTCAGTGTGAGCGGCCATCTGCTGAGGCTGAGTTCAACCCTCACACGGGGCATTTGTTTTAGCTTTTCCACTCCTAGTATTTACCACATTCTCAACCTAAGTTTCTATGATGCGACTTTATTCGGGGTTTTGAACAATGATGGTTACTTCTTGTTCTAGTTAGGGCTAGAGGCGCAATGGATAACGCGTCTGACTACGGATCAGAAGATTCTAGGTTTGACTCCTGGCTAGCTCTTTTGTTTATTGTCATTGTCTTACACATCTGCGTGCTTATTCCGGGTCAGCTGGTCAATCACTCTCGCAAACTCTTAAAAGTAACTTTACTAATTTTTTTTTACTAAACAATTTTTGTGTTTTTTCTTTTTTTTTTTTTTTCTTCCAAATGTATCTTTTCAGTTTGTTTGTTTTTTTTATATTTTTTTTTCCAAATTTGTCTTTTTTCAATTACTAACATATTTTTATCTTCCAATTTTTTTTTTATGTTTTTCCACTTTTATTATTTTTAAACTCTTTTAAACCCTATAAAATGTGTTTTTTATTTCTTTTTTCTAAAGTTTATATATTCAAAATATATATTTTCAAATTTCTCTTTTTCAGATTGAAACTTTATAAACATTCCTACCATAAAAGGACAATACAAACATTAACTCTAGCCATGCAGACGAAAAGAAATGCATCTTCACTGCTCAATTTAGAGGAAAGCTTGCTTACGGAAGTGAGGAGACTGTAATCTAAAAATACAAGCTGAAAAGAACTCAATTCAAATTTGAAAAAAAAAAGAAGAAAATTTGACAATTTAAATCAGTAATATAAATTAGGTATAAATAGAAAAAAAAAAAAAAAAAACCTGAAAATGTTAGAAAGGACTAATCCCAAAACCTGGAAGTCTAATTTTGGATTGTTTTTTTTGTTTTTGTTTTTCAAAATGCCATTTACAAAATGTGTTCTTTGCTTGCGACAATAATGGAACAAAATTCACTCCATACACCTTCTGCCTTCTTCTCAGTCAGATTATCTGCATCTCTTCCGTGCTTGGAATTTATAATAAGACTGCAGGATTCTTGCAGAGAAGAAGGGAAAAAAAAAGGCGAATAAACTCTGAGTTCATCTCTGTGTTTCCTTCAACAATTAGATTCCTATTTTTATCCTCTGCTCCGATGTGATTGTTTCTAGCTTTAGAGGGGTGATTAATGCGTTCCTTCCGGCCCTGTCCCGCGGCGCCACGGTCCGCGCCTCTCTCTCCGAGCACTCCCGATGTGGAGGCAGTTTCCACGGCAACCCCCTCGCCATCTCACCGCCGCTGCATCTCTCCTCCGTCTCTTAACGATTAGTGTGCTGGGGACTGTCGTCACTCGGTTTCCGTGACAACCTAACACAACAGCAGAGGAGCAGCAAAAAGGAGCCGGCATTATACCAGCATCCCTGCGTCTCTCGCTCCCCTTCTCGCCGTTTTCAATACGTTTCTCCACAGTTGAGCTCTGCAGCAGCCGCTGACCTTCATTCCAGCTTATTTATAGTGAACTCACGTATGCCAAGGCTCCCTATCTCCCTGCGATGCTGAAGGGGGACTTTGCCCTTGTTCTCCGTCCTTCTTTGATGTATTATTAATGAGGCATTGTGGCAGGAGTGGACAACAAGGCCTGTTCAACAGGAGTAGGGTAGTATTGTTATATGCAAAGAAATGCCGGTAAAGCGGTCAATAGCTTTTTGTATAACAGTTCTGGAGCTACTCCGGTTAAAACTTAACAAGTCTTTACATCAAACAGGAAGGAGATGCTTTTCTTTTTTTTTTTTTTACATATAATTGATGCGAAAATTCAAAAGAGGCAAGACGAAGCAGAGTTGTCAGACTGTCAGAAGTGGGTCTAAACACCACGGACACCGAGTTGCGTCATACGTTGTCCCATTAAATATCTCTCCAAATATAACCCCATATCCCAAAATGAGATTCTCGGTCAGGGCAGTAATGGGCGCTATGATTTATATTTACGCAGTATATAGTCTATGCAGCACTCTCAGAGGGATTGGAGTTTGTCTATATGGTGTCAATCTTTTCTCTGGTTTTAAAAGTATATCACTTACTATATCTAAAAGTATATCACTTACTTTATCTCACCTCATCAGCTTGTTATGATCAGTATGACCACCTTTAAAGCAGGAAGGTGTGTATTAACACAGCGCCAGGGTAGAAAGGAATTCCTTCATGGGCTTCTGACTATATCCTCAAAATGGAAGTCAAAAATCAATCATAGGACGACCCATTATTAATTAATCTATATGAGAAAGCATCAGAACCAAATGCCAGGTAGTAACGACAGTAGCAGCAGTCTGTCTGGATGCCTTATTGTGTTTTGAAATGGGAAAAAAGTTTGCAAATTCAGGGCTTCCTCTAGGATGTCTTTTTTTTTCGGTGGTGGGCTAACACTGCGGTAGTTCATTTATTCGCCACGCATTACGAGGTTAATTAGGGATTCAAGCTGGTCACTTTTTTTACCGTAACCATTTCAGAAAAAAGGGACTTGATTAAAAACTACATTAACATTATAAATATATCCTGCTTTGTAATCAATGGCGAAATCATCTGCAACTTTGCACACACAATGTTGCATATGGGCTGCCTTCGTGGGGCACAGTCACGGGTTAAGGGTCTTGCTCAGAGACACAGAGTGGCAGTCTGGGGCTCGAACTCAGAACCTCAGGAATCCAAGCTCTAGGCCCTATCCACTAACGTTTGGGAAAGTAGGGAGAGACTCATAGTAACTCTTTTTGTGTCTTTTAAGACAACATGTATGGAAGTAGGGAGAGAGCAAAAGCAGCTTTTTCTGTGGCTGTGACACAGCACTGAGAGATATAGGAAGATATTAACAGCCCTTAAGCCTGGGATACATTTCTGATATTTTCAATCGTTGCTCACAGCCCAAAGTCAGATTGTGCAAATCAATCGCAGAGTTATAAAATTCACAGTTTGTATGTCCTCACTCTGTATAAACCAATGCATGTGTGCAATCAGATATCTATTCTAACGTACAGTACATTGAACAATCCTGCAATAAGAAGAAGTAGCTAGAAAAAGATAAGAAACTTCTATTTTTTTTTTATCATGGGTAATCTCAAAATCTCAGAGGAAAGAGTTCTCAGTCTCAGTATGACCGATTCAACATGCGATTCTTTCATTAGCCAAGACCAAAATATCAAAGGTTTGATTTTCTTGCGACCTAAGATTTCTGATAAGGAGCTCGTCATGACATAACCTTCTTTGACCCCCTTGAATACTGCAAGACACACAATTTGTTCGTCCCGATCCCCAAACTTGTCGCATGACTGGAAAATTGTCTCAAAAACAACCAAAAATCGGACAGTGTATGCTTGGCTTTAAGGAATTCAGGTGAAGTCGCTGAACTTTCCAAAAACAGAGAAAAAATGCACTATATTTGGCTCTAGCTGCTTTTTTGAAACACGAAAAGATCCAAAAAGTTGCTCAACGCATCTGAGAAGTCCCATAATATGGCAACAAAGTTGCTAAGCTGGTAAAACTAAACTGTCGTCTCTACTTTCCCTTCACTACTGAGAGCAGCGCATTGCATTGTGGCCACCAAGATTTCTACTAGCCAGCTTCACAACAAGACAGAAAGGAGCCGGTGGGGTTTGTTTGAAATAAAGCTGATAACTTAAACTCTGATTATGATTACAATAAGTGAGCAAATTCACGGTATGAAATATAATTTGAATATTCTCTATGATTGTGTTAATTACATCTACTGTAAAGCTTGGCATTCATCATTACCCTGATTATGTGAGACAGTAGCTGTAGCTTCTTACCACAATACCTGGAAAGCTTCTTCTGTTGAGAGACAAAGCAAAAAATGAATAAATTTGCGAGTTGCAACGATGCATAATTACCCCATGCATGTGGGAAATAAGACAGTGTTAGTTAACAAATCAGCAATGACCGTAATAAGCCCATTATTATGTTTTAAAATTGGGAATTGAAGTTAGAAAGAAACAAGATGCAAAATCAGAATCAGAATGACTTTTTTAATCCCTTGTGGGAAATTTGTTTCTTGTAGTGCAACTTTTTACAATAGAGCAAACCAAATTATAATATGATAAGATAGGATAAAATAAGGAAAATTACAACTTTCCCATATAAACCCATATTACACCCTTCCAAATGGATCGTTTAAGACGGAATTAGCAGGTGTGTGTAAACACAACATCAGGGTGAAATGACAACCATCTTAGAAAAGTCAGCAAAGATGGCTGTTAATCTTAGAGCAATTGCATAACCATTTATTTATGGTTTTATTCCTTTGCTACAGAGAAATATTGAGAAGGGTTATTCACAAGGAAAACTGATGTGAGATATTAGCATCAAGTCTTCAAATGAGTGGACAGAGAGTGTGTTATTCAGAGCCGTCGCCTCGCCATGGACTGGGGTGGTGATTCTGTTAAGATAGATGAAGAAATTTGGTTTAATTTGAAGAGTTGAAGGAAAACTCTCATTTTCTCTTGTTTCTTTTGGTTTTTATTCATTCTGGACATGGAGACGGGCATAGCTTCATATCCTCTATGTCTCCTCCAACCAACTAGGGACGTCTGATCAAGATGCTTAACGTCTTCCAACAACTGTCAAGCCCAGAAGGGCGATTATTCTCGCTTTATGAAATTGTCTCCAATCTGAACTTTTTTTTCATATAATTTTTGCCTCTTAACCTTTTAACCACTTTTTTTTGTTTCTCCCTTATATAAGAGCTAGTTTCATTTGAGCTTAATAAAATAAAGTGTTGATGGCCGAAAAAAAACAATCATCTCAACAAGCATTCTGCTGACACCCTAACGAAGGGCTAATTTACAGTATGCTAAAGGTTTAATCTTTTTGCTCTCAAGGACTTCGGCTCCTGCTGGTTTGCCGGCGTCTCTGGCCCATCGAGCGCGGTACGCCACCTACTTTGACGTTGCGGTGCTGCGTTGCCTGCTTCAGCCCCACTGGACGGAGGAGGGCGTGCATTGGGCCCTCATGTACTACCTGCAGCGGTTAAAGCAGATCATGGAGGAGAGACCCGAACGTACCCCGGAACCCCTGGTCATCCCTCTGCCACGGCCACGGAGCAGCTCCATGGTGGCCGCAACTCCATCGCTGGTCAACACTCACAAGACTCAGGTAGTGGCAAGCAGGTCCACTTTAGAGGATCTTAATCAGCACAGTTTGACCGCAAACAAACAGCGACATCTTCTGACTTTGGTCATTTATAGCTTTTTTAAGACGGAGAAGCACAAAAGTTTTCTCATAAGTGCAGTAACTCTTACACTGAAAAAAGTGTAACATGTAACTGTTCATTCAAACTAAAGACACAATACACTCACCGGCCACTTTATTAGGTACCCCATGCTAGTAACGGGTTGGACCCCCTTTTGCCTTCAGAACTGCCTCAATTCTTCGTGGCATAGATTCAACAAGGTGCTGGAAGCATTCCTCAGGGAGTTTGGTCCATATTGACATGATGGCATCACACAGTTGCCGCAGATTTGTCGGCTGCACATCCATGATGCGAATCTCCCGTTCCACCACATCCCAAAGATGCTCTATTGGATTGAGATCTGGTGACTGTGGAGGCCATTTGAGTACAGTGAACTCATTGTCATGTTCAAGAAACCAGTCTGAGATGATTCCAGCTTTATGACATGGCGCATTATCCTGCTGAAAGTAGCCATCAGAAGTTGGGTACATTGTGGTCATAAAGGGATGGACATGGTCAGCAACAATACTCAGGTAGGCTGTGGCGTTGCAGCGATGCTCAATTGGTACCAAGGGGCCCAAAGAGTGCCAAGAAAATATTCCCCACACCATGACACCACCACCACCAGCCTGAACCGTTGATACAAGGCAGGATGGATCCATGCTTTCATGTTGTAGACGCCAAATTCTGACCCTACCATCCGAATGTTGCAGCAGAAATCGAGACTCATCAGACCAGGCAACGTTTTTCCAATCTTCTATTGTCCAATTTTGATGAGCTTGTGCAAATTGTAGCCTCAGTTTCCTGTTCTTAGCTGAAAGGAGTGGCACCCGGTGTGGTCTTCTGCTGCTGTAGCCCATCTGCCTCAAAGTGCGACGTACTGTGCGTTCAGAGATGCTCTTCTGCCCACCTTGGTTGTAACGGGTGGTCATTTGAGTCACTGTTGCCCTTCTCTCAGCTCGAACCAGTCTGGCCATTCTCCTCTGACCTCTGGCATCAACAAGGCATTTCCGCCCACAGAACTGCCGCTCACTGGATGTTTTTTCTTTTTCTGACCATTCTCTGTAAACCCTAGAGATGGTTGTGCATGAAAATCCCAGTAGATCAGCAGTTTCTGAAATACTCAGACCAGCCCTTCTGGCACCAACAATCATGCCACGTTCAAAGTCACTCAAATCACCTTTCTTCCCCATACTGATGCTCGGTTTGAACTGCAGGAGATTGTCTTGACCATGTCTACATGCCTAAATGCACTGACTTGCCGCCATGTGATTGGCTGCTTAGAAATTAAGTGTTAACGAGCCGTTGGACAGGTGTACCTAATAAAGTGGCCGGTGAGTGTATTTGCTTATATTAAAGGCACACTATGCAACATTTTTCAGTTAATTAATGTGTTCCATAACGTTTTGGATGATTAAATGAGTCATTTCAGGTTGAACAAAGGTATTCTCGGCCGCCCTGGTGGTCTGTGGGGGAAATACCGCACTTGCAATTGCAGGAGCACCGACCCGCACCCACAGGCTCAGAAGTCTCACGAGAGTCGGTCTTGCTTTACGGCGAGAACTGCTACACCCCCCAGTTAAAAGCATGCTCGTTGCTAGCACAGTGGCGATCTTTGTGCAGTGCTGCTTTCACACCGGACGCAGCAAAATCGCGTCTGCTGCTTCATTTTTACTGCTTGTACCAATTAGTTCTGACGCGGGCTGAAGCAGCTTTGCTGCTCTGGCTGCGCGGTGCAAAAGTGGGTCTGATGCGCGTTGGGTGGAGCTTCACTATCCTTTCTCTGCCTTGCAGCTATATTTGCTGTGATCAGTGGGAATAAAGTAGTTTTAATATGTTTTTAAGTGAGAAAATACACCTGAAAACGTAATCAGTGCAGTCAGTTCATTCAGATTATCATCCTGCCTTACAATATTATTTCTGTCGGAGCCGCTCAGACCCCCACATACCAGCGGTTCGCTGTCATTAGGAATCCCTTCATCAGCAGCCTCTGGCCGGGTCGCCTCCTCGCGGTTCACCGCTGCAGCTGGTAGGTGTTTTTCATCTAAATAATCCAAACTGCAGGCAGCAGGATAATAAAAGCCAACATATTCTGCCGGCAGATTTCTGCATTTTAAGTTAATTTAGGCGTCAATAAACTGTTTAAGAGGAGTGATCATCAGCGCTGTGTCTCTCTCCCTGCCAGCTCCCAGATCAGCTTCTCTGATTGGTTGACGCGGCGCGTCGAGCAGCAAAAATTAAATTTTTCCATCTCGAGCAGCAGGGCGTTTGCGGCGCGTCAGATGCTTAGTCATTCGTTGCGTTCGCCTGTCTGCTAAGCTCAAAACAACCGCGCCTGGCTTGACGGAGAAACCAGGAGAACAGCTGTGCATATTTACGACAGTGCACTTTTACTTTCGCCCTCTGGGGGGAGCCTCGCTGGAAAATCAACACCGGTTGCATAGTGTACCTTTAACTTCTATTATTAGGTGGTACTCTTTATTGATTTTGATTAATACAGCTGATAACCACTCTCCTAAGAAATGACTCTCCACCAGGTCAAATTCCCCATACAGGTGTTTTATTGTGGAGTGCTAAGGACATATTCTGTAAATTGGAATTAAAAAAAGAAGAAAAAACTTTTAATCAAAAACAGTTTTTTTATTTCAAGTTATATTATTTCTAATGTATTTTCTCCCAATAAGTTTTTTTTTTTTTTACAGATTTTATATTTTCAAATTATGTTTTTTACTGTTTCACAGGACATGAGTCTGAAGTGCAACGAAGAAGGCAAATCTTTGAGCACGGAGACCTTTGCGAAAGTATCACTCACCAACTTGCGTCGACAGGCGGTGCCAGACTTGTCTTCTGACCTGGGTATGAACATCTTCAAGAAGGTGAGGGTCAGACGGTGGGTTTGTACCCAGAGAGAGATTCTCCTTTTGCTAAGGGGGAAATGAGGACCATACAAACTGACGTCGCCATTTCTCTGCGTAGTTCAAGAACCGAAAGGAGGACAGGGAGAGAAAAGGTTCCATCCCATTCCATCACACTGGGAAGAAGCGCCAGCGGCGGATGGGTGTGCCGTTCCTGCTTCATGACGACCATTTGGACGTCTCTCCCACGCGGAGCACCTTCTCCTTCGGAAGCTTCTCGGGGCTGGGGGACGACCGGCGGGCTTTGGACCGCGGTGGCTGGCAGGCTACCATCATGGGTAGGTGATAATGTTTTTGCCCTTTGGCTTGGTGAGTCAGAAGGTTCAGCTAATAAGCTCCGACAACCTGTGATTTCAAATTTCCTAAAGGCTCAAGAACCTTTTGTTTTCCCTGTAGAGGGTAACTGACTTTTTAAGGCCTTGTATTCATGGGTCTCAGGTTGTTGAGCTATATAAAACATTGTTAGACCCTAAATAAGGTCTAAAATGTGTGCTGTAGGCATTTTTTGTATGTCAACAATGCCATTAGTGTTGCATTCTAGTTTAACGTCGGTCAGCAAGTTAAATAAATAGCCTTTTTTTTATATCATTATAATTAACGTAATTTTACCCATTTTATTTCTACAATAATAATGCCAAAGTTCCCATTCTGAGCTGCTGAGAAACCTTTCAGGTCACAGATGCAAATTTTCCAGCTCATCTACTTCAAGCAGCATCTGCTGTCCAGGTATTTCTGAAAACAAAAAAACGAGTGTTTGAACGCTCTCGTGTGGGCATTGCTTTCCAGGCAAATTCACACGCAGGGGCAGCACGGACACAGCTGCCGACGCCGACAGCCTGAGCGCCAAACACTCCCACTCCCACCACTCACTACTCCGAGACATGCCCGACCACTCCAACAGCCACAGTGACAACACGGTGAAGGAAGGTGAGGCCATCAGCTCAGAGACGTTTGGAAAGGGGGGGTTAAAGTTTCACATCTATTAGATGTTGGTTCTTTTTGCAGCAGTTCTATAAAAAAAATTTCTAGGTTTAAAATATAGAAAAAGTCTAAGAATTATATTTATTGACCAGTAAGCAGTTACTTTTAAAGTGGAGTAGAAATATGGGGCTCCGCTGTCGACTGCTGCAGCAGCATGTAAGAGGTCTATTATTTACGCAGTGCAAATTCACACAAAAAACATGGCTGGCATTTAACTCAAATAAATGAAAAGCAGCATTAAGAACTCTAACAGATTTTCAAAGGAAAATTCCCCATAGTAATTTAATCTTTTACTAAAAAGAAATGCTGATTTTATTTCTGCCTTTTACTTATTGTATTAATTATGACTCTACGGAAGCCCTGAAATGCCACTTTTAAAAGACTCATTATGACCAGAAGTTAATTTTTGCTCTAATAGAGTAGCTGATTTAAAGGTAGCAAAATGGCACATATTTGTAAAATAAAACTCTATCTTTGATATTAAAAAGTGCAAAATTAAAAAATGCAATTAATTGGAGACTAAGTTTTCTTTGATTCAAAATTGTAACAGTCATTTTTTTTTTCATTGTTTGTTTGTTATTTGCCTCAAATTACATTTTAAAAAAGTTTAAGACCTTTTATATGCTTAAAAAAAACAAAAAACTAAATAAAACAATTCAAGGTCTTGTTTGAGTCTGACTTCAAATTCCAAGCACTAAGCAATCTTTTTTTGTAGTTTTTCTTTCATTTGTGAACATTTTAATCATTTACTTCTATTTTTCTGTCAGCCATGTAAATTAGATGAATATAAATTAAATGTGATCTAATGTTCTAAGTGCCTGGTGAGTCATTATCTGTTATTCCTTTTTATATATTTATACATTTATTGCTTTTTTATATATATTATTTCTTGGGTGTACTCTAAGATCAATTATTTAAACAAGAAGTTGATGAAAAATGTGTGGTATAGTTTTTAAATGTATTAATTAATTAAGAAAATTAATTACCTACAAATAGATAATTGATTGGCTGAAATATAAAAATAACAATAATAAAAAAATTTTGACATGGGCAACATTCAGTTAGTTTGTGGCTCAAAAATAATATGTTAACATTTAAAAATGTATAAACAATATTACCACTTAAAAGCTGTAGTTTCCCTTCCAGGAATAAATAAAAACATTTTTGCCAAATTTTGAGATAGAAAAATATTAAGTCTCGAAATCAAGGGGAAAAGTACAATTTATTTGAATAAAAGCAAACATCATTTAAGGTCTAATAGACGAATTATTTAAAAACTTTAAGAACTTCTATAAATGAGAAAAGAATAAGTCATTATTTGGTTTCATAGATAAAAAATTATATCAAAAAGACAGTTTTAAAAACTTTAATCGTTGTCCCTTGGAAATGTTGGTTGTTTTTACTGACATTTCAGGCTCTGAGACGTACACACATCAATGTTGTAATGTTTTTAAACTCTAAAGTGCTAACTTGTAAAGAGCCTTGCCTTCTGAAAAGGGGTAAATACTGTAAATAAAGCAAAAATCCTTTGAAAATAAAACAAAAAAAGAAGCCTAATTGAATGAAGAAATAAAAAATTATAAATTCATTATGGGAAAACCTTATTTTTGCACAAATGTTTGGCAATCTCACTTTTATTTAATATCCACCCAAGTTTTTGAGTCAAAACATTGCTTATCCCACTGTTTCCCTCAAGTCCGTTCCCAGATCTCGACCATCACCATGGCAGCGTTCAACACAACCGTTGCGTCCTTCAACGTGGGCTACGCCGACTTCTTTACCGAGCATATGAAGAAACTGTGCAACCCGGTCACTGCGCCCGAGATCCCCGTGGAACCACTGGCCTGCACCAACCTCCCCCGGAGCCTCACCGACTCCTGTATCAACTACTCCTGTCTGGAAGAGGGCGAGAACATAGAGGGAACCAATAACTTTGTTCTGAAAAATGGCATGTTGGACCTAACGGTGAGTATACTAACCAAAACTACCCCGGGCATCCTACCTGACCAGGTGTTTAAATGCAATCTACCATTTTTTTTCATTTTTATTATTAGGCCGTCCTGCGGGCTGTTTATGCCGTACTCAGTCACGACATCAGCTCCAGGATCTGCGACGTGGCACTTAACATCATTGACTGCCTGCTGCAGCTGGGGGTAGTCCCCGGGATGGGGAAGAGGCTGTCCAAGCCTGATAACAAGGAAAACCAGGAGGCTCGTGCCAAAGACTCAAGCGGGCAAAGCCTTGGAGGGGGTGCTCAGGGTGGGGGAGCGATTTCAGGAGCCGGCGGGGGAGGAGATGGAGGTGGGGGAGGGGGGAGTGGAGGAGGGAGCGGGCAGGGGAGCAAGGATGATGTGAAAAATAACAAGGATAATGATAAAAAGGTGGGTTTCGGAGTGTATTTTTGTGAGTTTAATGTCAGTTGTGATATCTAAAGCTCGGTTTTCGTCTTTCGATTCTTTAAAAGGAGGAAGAGGGTTCTGCTTTTAGCACCCACCGCCTGGCTTTAACCATGCTGATTAAGATAGTCAAGTCTCTGGGCTGTGCTTACGGATGCGGGGAGGGACATCGAGGGCTATCAGGAGATCGGCTCAGGATGCAGGTTGGACACTTGGTCGCGAAAAACATTTGCTTCTGAAACAGTTTACTGTCTATTTTGTTTTGAATATTATTCTACATGTCCAAAAAAATACCCTTTTCTATTATTCTCTAAATATATTTCGTTTTAGGCCCAAAACTGCTTGACTAATCTTTATAAGCTGGACAAGGTGCAGTTTCGCCAAACGATGCGCGAGTATGTCAACAAAGACTCTCTCAATAACATTGTGGACTTCCTGCACGCACTGCTGGGCTTCTGCATGGAGCCCATTACTGACAGTGAGTATGTGGTGTATCCAAGTGGGACGCAAGCCCCCATTCCCCCAGCCAAAGAGAAAAAATTTACATTCAAACCACATACAGTAACTGGAACAAACTGAAAGTAAAGTAAAAATTATTGCTGTTTAAAAAAGCAGATTTTGTGAGCGTTAGGGATATAACATGCACACATGTTAACATGCAGGTTTAGCAGGCATGTTAGCATGCTCACCATTTGCTAACCTGTTAGTGCCAATTCATCTCCAGCTTCCCAAGAGCTAATTAATAAATAGATACCTTGTATTTTGACAAGGTATGAAAATGCAGGCATATTCATATGGCATTAAAATGTGTTTGAGACACAGTTCTCGAAGTTAGCTTTGACAAAAGAAACCATGTGTCAGGATTTGGTTGTGGTTTGAGGAGCCAAATGCAGAGGCAGGGAGGCAGAGGTGAGTTTCTTGATAATTTAATGTACAGTAAGCAAACAACTGAGGCAGGAATCCAAAAATCAAAACATGAAAAGAAAGTAAAACAAACCAGAAACCATGGAGACATCAGGGGGGAAAACTATCACGCGGAGGAAGACTCAGAGAGACGGAGCTGGAGGAAGTTAGACGAGGAATCAGAACTGAGCAGAGAGTGTATTTATTGAAGAATGAACAAAGAGAGGACTAACTAGTAGATTGGGAGCAGGTGTGAACAGAGCAAAACAGGAAAGGAGCTAGGGAAAAAGGAGAACACCAGAGGGCAGCAGAGCGCAACAAATAAAAACCTGGAAACTAAAAATAACCAGAAAACACAACAAAATAAGAATTAAACAACAAAAACTAGAAAACAAGGAGCAAAGTTAAACTGAATACTCAAAAGAAAACATAACAGAACCAAAACTGTGACTCCTTGTTAGTAAAAGAGCGGAAATAAACAAAGTTCACTGCAGTAAACATCACAACATATAAAGTTTTTAACCTGTTTGGAAGAAACATGTTTAATAAAAGACATAAAAGACTATTATTAAAAATTAGATAATGCAAATATGAGCTAATGCTAGCAATCCATGCTTTTTGCTTGAGAAAACAAGTAAAGTACAGATAGTTTAGTCTGAGACTTTTCAGGTCTAAGCCCACACATATCCTAATATAAATGCAAACCCATATTTTGTAAAATGAAAAGTAATATCTTCCTCATGTTAAGTTTTTATGACAATGGATTCATTGAAAACATTATCAGCAGAATATAAAATTGCATTCTTAAGCATTTGATGTTAAATCTCATATCAGAAAATGTTAGTAACAAAAAACACTATGCCATTAAAAACATGATTATTATCATTTGGTTATATGTGTAAAGTTTGGAACTATTAGTATGTTTACTGTCTCAAAGGCCACAAACATCAGTAAAGACCAGCATAAACAATGTTTAATGTAGCAAACGTCCATTAGCAAAATGCTAAGTGTTTTTAATGTCTGAAACCATTCGCCACTTTCTTATTCAGAGGTTATAGTGCTAAGGTGAGAAAAATTAAAAAATTGATGTCAACGACATTAGTCGTAAATGTGTCTGTAAATTTAAGTCTATGAGGGTAAAATTGTACCAGGAAATTATTAAAGTTGAACATTTCAAGAATTTAGTCATACTATTACAAAAATTAAGTCATGACAAGAAAGTCATCAAGTAGACATGCTCGGAGAATACAACACAAATCACTCTCTCATAGAGTCAATTTCCTCTATTTACTAAAAACTTTTAAATGAGAGAAAGCTATTTTTACGTGTTGAACAATTGTAAGGGAATAAATAGGAAAGAAAACGTCGCAATGCTTTTTAGACAGTATGGTTTTATTTATTCCAAAAATAGTTCCCCTGCTGAAGAAAATGTTAACATTAGCAAACAGGCCCAGACCTTAGAATACATGTAGAACAGTGTACTCAATCAGAGGCATCTCCAGAAGTGCTGTAAGACAGACCTCTACAGGAGATCCTTCCTGCCTACAGCCATTCAAATCTACATTCATTTCTTAAAGAAACCTTTATAATAATGACAAAGTTTTTACTTGAATTTTGGCATTTTAAGATTCAAACATTTAAATATGTTACAAGTTTAGATGCATAAGTTGTCGGTGTGTATATAAGGACAACTTAAAGAGAAATTTGCTAATGTAAAAGCTACATGTAAGGTTTAACAGTTTAAAAAATAACACAGGAAGGAACATTTAAAGGTTATAGTCACATAAAAACCCTGGTTTTAGACAAGAAGGTTGTTATGAGTGAGATTAAAAAATTCACCATGCTATTCAGAATAATAAAATTGGTAAAAACCTGCAGTTTGGGATGTCTATTAAAAATAGGTTTGGTTAAATAAAAAAAAAATCAATGCTGACATTGAAATTGAGAAGATTGGAAAATTTAGGGATGTCGGCTTGTCGATCAGTTAAGTTGAGACAAAAGATACAAATGATTAGATGTTGAAAATCCTAAAAGTTTTTTTAAACCATAAGGGACTCTACTAATAGTCAGGAAGAGGGAACCCTAGTAAGGGACTGAAAAAGTAAGCATACAGTAAGCAAAAATATTGCAATTACAAGCCTGATAATAAGACTTTATAAATCGAATCAACCAAAATTGGTGTTAAATGTTTTTGTAGCAAAAATTGTCATTTGGGATGCTGTCATAAAAACACTAAAAAAAACTAAATTGTTGTCAATTAAATCTGTGCGTTTGTGCAATATAAAAAAGGTAAGTTCAGAAAATTTTAATTTGAAAAAATTAAATAGGCTATATAAGAAGTTTAAAAAATGTCCTTCATTTACATATTTTTCCAAATTTCCCTTTTCAAAATGTTTTTTTTTCACTTGTAACAATAATCGAGCTGATTACCTAACAACTAATGTTCCTATGGCTCACGATGAAAGTCTCTGTAAAGGAATGTGTCATCAAAAGTTAAATATATAATTTTAAAAAGCTAGATTTCAACCCTGCTGTCTCACCCTGCACCTTGACTTTACATCCCAGCCCTACCTGTGTGAATATATTCGTATTTTCCCTGTCCTCCTTCCACTTGTCTTTGCTTGTCGTTTTTGATGTTTTCCTCCTGCTTACATGCATCTATTTTTTTTCTTCATCAACCCGAATAAGCTGAATCCTGACTTTTTCACTTACTCATCCCATTCCGTACACTTGCCAATACGCAGCTTCTTCCATTGCATTAGTGCCGAAATCATGGTTTTACTCTATGGCGTGGTATTTACGCCAACATTTATGATGTGATAATGGTAGCAACTTTAAGACTATTGCACACCCAATGCCAGCTACTGAGTTGATCAGTGATAGGCCGGCATAGGTAACTAAGCGCTATTCCACCACTTTTATCAATAATTTCTCATAACTTTAGCTTTGTGTATATAATTGTGGATGCCAAAGCATGGCATAGTCTATAGCCACAAAGTCTTAATTTTGGCACTAAAACTGTGATATAAAAATTGAGACAATTAGCCACCCAGTGCTCTCTGCTTCCTTAGCGTAGGCGTTGTCAAATCTGATGCAAACTACTGATCTAATTAATGACAGGCTGGCATCGGTAACCAAGCTGAGCCTGTAACTAAGTAAAACAATATTCACCTTTGGAAAGGCCTATGCTGGCCACCCGATGGATTGCCCATTCCTATTCTGTCCATTAGCACAGATAAGCTGGCTTTAGCCTTTGTTAGGGTGGCGTTTGCCCCGAAAAGACTGGTTTTAGCACTGGCGGTAGCCTTGGAGAGACTGGTGTTAGCAATGGAAGGGCTGGTGTTAGCACTGATAGGCTGGCGTAAGCCTTGGATAGACTGGTGTTGGCACTGATAGGCTGCCGTTAGCCTTGGATAGACTGGTGTTAGTGCTGGATAGGCTGGCATTAGCCCTGGATAGACTGGTGAAAGGCTGGAGTTAGCCTTGGATAGACCCCAATATATCTGTTCTAATGAACAGCAGGAAGTTCAGTGACTGACCAGCATCCTAGTCCCCAGAAGAATTCTCTCCTTCTCAGTCACCAGCTCCAACTTCTTATTTTCCAAACCTGGCAGCGCAGGTTTGTCCTTTTGGCAGTGCCAGCCTTTCATTAATCAGATCAGCAGCTGGTATCAGAAAGGATATAGCCTCTGAGGTGTGCAATAGTCTTAATTTTGATGACAATACCATGCTACAGAGAATTGAGACCCAGTTGTCCAGTTTTGCTTTGAGACATTCAAATATTTTGTACTTTTGCTGCAACCGTCCATCATTTTTGTACAAAATACTTTGCAATTGGCAAGTTACTGAAGCGATGAGTGTTTTATTGATGAAAGTGAACAGGGCACCTTCTTCAGTTCTTGTTGTTGTTGTGTTTTTATTTTCGACTGTGTGCATCTTGGGGTCACTTCCTGGCGGAGGTGGGGTGCCATGACCACCTTACGTATTTGTGCTGGCCTGATGTCAATCAACTTGTGCCCCGCCTCTTTTCTCTTGCAGAGTACGGCAGTGCAGGTGAGAGGTCCAGGAGGGCGAAAAAAAGAAACATCGGTAGATACACACGATTGATGATTAATACCAGTTGATAACATAAGCAATACGATGGCTATACTCACCCAATCAGATCCTTCCCTAGACACCGCTTTCATCGCTGCACCCCTCACTCTGTTCGAAAGTGACAAACTCGCCTGCAACTCCTAAATTGACACCTCTGTGGTTGAATCTGGCTTCAGCTAAATGGACGCAGACTTACTCTGTTTTTGAAGCAGGCATCAGTCACTTGCATGTATTCCCTTTTTTCTCCCCAAAAATCTTTTTAAGTTTGCTTCTTCCTCATTTGCTTTATGAACCCCTTTCCTTTGCCCCGCTCCCCCTGGCTCTTTTCTGTTGTATGGGCTCTCAATGCTCAAGCTGGTCAGTACTGTCCCCTTTACCCTCTCATCCCAATGACTAAACTACCTCCTGTAATCATCCATGGTCTTTTCCTGCCTTCCTGCTGCTTCCAGACAAGGCGGGCTTTGGTAACAACTTCGCCACAGGGGACAACAAGTCGCTGGCGCAGAACATGGAGGCAGTGGTGGTGGGCTGCATGTTTAAGTCCCTTATCACCCGCTGCGCCTCGACTACACACGAGCTGCACAGCCCCGAGAACCTGGTGAGTGAGGCGTGAAACCATCGCTCCATCTGCTCTAGGCATTTGGGTTCTGATATATATTCGACTTGTGAATACTTGTGAACAGATATAGAGATTTTTAAGGGATGAAGGGTTAGATCTTCGCTATCTCCGGTCCCAGTTATGGGTTTGTGTCATATTTTTAAACCTCAAAGCCTTTGAAACCAATTTCCACCGTAATTATGGCCCTTTTTAAATTCCCATTCATCCAGGTCATGGCAACCACAAAAATAACTTCATTCAGAGGCAACAAAACTTTACCACCTTTTGCTCCGTTTTCCTGAGGACATCGGCGACATTTCTCTGTCAATTCTGTCAGCTCGAACTAGAGCAATCAGTAGTTGGAGCGCTGTTGTTTTCAAACACCTGGAGTCCTGTCCTATTAAACACATTACAAGTCAGATAAAAATCGAAGACCCACCTGTCATTCTGTTTGGTTGTTGAATACTGTTGTTGTGTGGGTTTGGTGTTTTCCCATTTGAATCATGATGAGTTGCTTGTGTAACCTCTTCAGAATGAGTTCCGGGACAGAGTTGTCGATGCTAGGAAGCTGAAACAGCGACCCTCCTCCTCTGTTCTCTTCTCACAACTTTTAACAAGAGATGGCTTCCTCCACCCCTCTTTCCAACCATCTGTCGTCTCTATCCAAAATCCAAACATCTTAGTCATCAGTGTGTCCTTAGTTGCTAAGATGGCTAGTGAAAGTGGCTAATATTAGCCTTCCACATTAAGCCGGGCTTACACTTTTTTTTTTGCCCTTTTCGGGGCGACTTTTCAGTCGTGCAAGAATTTTCCGATCCGCCTGATTTTTAGCCTGATCACGCGTCATGTAGTGTACAGGGGGTAACGAGGGGCAAGCAGCCTCTAACGACCACCTCCTGATCAGGAATCAAACATGTTTGATTTTCTCCCAACCGTTGTGGCCAAATCACTCCATGTGCAAACAAGGATTCTCCTTGTTCTTCTTCCTCTCAGATGTAAACACAGAAGCATGGCCGGGATGCGGGTAAATGGAATTGTTTCTGTAAAACTGACAGACATGTTTGCTCAGCCATGTCTTAGAATACATTGTCGCCTTTTCTTTTTAGGACAAAATTGCACAAATTGCCAAGGCAGCGCATTTCACTCTAGTGAAACTCTGCTTTTTTCGTCGTACAGTGTGAGCTGTAGCTGCGTGCAATGATTGAAAAAAATTGCACAGTGTATGCCCGGCTTTAGCTAACCAGTTAGCAAATCATCTATCATTTGCTAATATACAAAGGTTAGCCAACGCACCAACATTATCCAGTAAAACTTCCTCTAAATAGAAGACCCAGTCCTCTCTGAGAAGATCAGATACCTCGGCCTGATAGATTTATTTAGCTGTTTTCCTGTTTGCATTTGCTGATGGTAATTATTAGTCTTGCACTTTTACAAGCTCAAGGTATGACAACAGATCGCAAAGCAAAGCAAAGTAGATGTTTGTTGTCATAAGTTCCTCCAGGATGTTTCGAGTAACTACAACTTTTTGAAGTGTTTTTGGCACAGCAGGAGCTGATGGGTTGCAGCTCAACAAGGCATGTCAACCGATTGTAGAAGCTGATCCAGGAGCTGCCTGGAAGATGATGGTTACACTCTACAAGTTTTTCATAGAAACCCAGGAGACTGTATTTTTAAGTAGCCAACAAGCAAAATGAAAGTGTTTTACTTTCAGCCGCTATGATTGGCAACGAGAAATCCCCAAGTGCCTGGGTGGTTTAGTCGTAGCTGCCACCCTTGTTACCTGTATACGGGGATCTGCTGCTTGGAAAAACTAAGAATGTTTCAAAGTAGGATCATAATCCGACTGAGTGGATGTTATGAGGTTTACTTTTTAGCTAAAAAACACTCATCAGGGGCGTCTTGCACTCTCTCTTTCTACGTGCTTCTGATTTAAATGTTGGCAAGCATCAAAGTTTGATTATTGGATGACTTTGTGATGTTCAAAACATATTTGGTTAGAACTTTTTATGGGTAAAATTTAATCTAAAACTAAAAACACCTATCACTCAGGCTGAATTTGGTGTTTTGATAATGTCTAGAGCGGAGGTCTTCAACAGGGGGTCCGCAACCCCTAGGTGGTCTAGAGGTACTGCATGGGGGTCGCTAAAGTTTTGGTTTAGTGCAATTTTTTCCACTTATTAGAATGTCTTTAAAACACATTAATATGAATTTAACACACTGTAGTAATCAGATACATGGAGGCAGAAGATGTCTTTCAGTCATCAATGCACACATTCAGTGACACAGGAGCTCTTTCAATCTGGGCACCGTTTCATTCATCAATAGCTCTTTTTTTTCCCTTCACAGGGTTTGTACTGCGATATCCGCCAGCTGGTTCAGTTTATAAAAGAGGCCCATGGAAATGTGTTCCGGCGGGTGGCGCTGAGTGCACTCCTAGACAGTGCCGAGAAGGTCACCGCCGCCAAGAAACCTGATGAAAAGGAGGATGGCAAACAGTTCGGACCAAGGAGGTAGTGGACAAGCATAGGCTTAGAACTATTTTTGAGTGGCTATGTAGTGAATTTTGTTCCATTTGCCACTATGGCTGACAATGCCAATTGGCCAGGGGGATAACCTTTTGGCTGACCGGTCAGTGCGCATCAATTTCACTTGGGAGTTTGGGGATCAAATCCTGCCTGGCAGTTACGCACCTTGCCGCACAATATTGTTGAAAGCAACAAAAATGTTTGCTAAATGAAACTTTGAGAAACCCAGAAATGAGACTTTTAAAATGTAATAATAAAAAAAAAAGGTTTTTAGAGTACTCTCTAGCTTTATTTTATCAAAACAGATTTTTTTCAAAAACTTTTTGATATTTTATTTTTTCAACTTTTGTTTCAAATGTCTCTTAAATTTAATTTTATGGATTATTTTATTTTTAATCTGCATTCTACAGATTGCATTTCCATCACGTCAAGCCCCAAACAAATGTTGCTAACATCCATGTTGACCAATAGAATTGAGTCTTAACTACTTACTCCAGAGTAAAACAAGCCCCCGGAAAGTGAAAAGAATCTGAAAAGCAGCAAAGCTACTCTTGAAACCATTTTTTGATACTGAAATCTCTCAAAGTTGCATTTCTGGGTTGTTGTTTTTTTTTTTTTTTTTCAAAATCTTCTTCACTTGCAACAATAATGGAACACAATTTATTCCATAATTACCATCATGTTTTTTCTGATGAATGCTAAATCCTCTCCGTAAATGTAAACAGACCTCTTTTTATCCGATCACAGTGAATGTCTTTCATCACTACTTAGTAACGTTTCTTTATGTCAATGTCTTGTCTTTGTCATCATTCCGATGTTCTCATGTTTAAAATAATTTCAACCTGGAGAGACTCGCACTGAGAAAAGTTGCAATTAGAAAAGTGTTATTCAGTTCAATTAGTTGCTAGTAGCAGTCAGATTGGTTCAAATTTAATGTCTAAGGAAAACCTGCTGATTGCATCAACTCATTGTCTCTTTGGCAATCCCTCACACCAAGCAAGCATGTAGCGATAGTGGAGAGAAAAACTCCTTTTTAACAGGAAGGAACCTCTGGTAGAACAAGGCTCAGTGTGAGCGGCCATCTGCTGAGACCAACTGAGGCTCAAGGAGTCGTTTGCTGGGTTTGAATTGAGCGGTTGCTTCCTCTGAAGTCCAGATTATTCGGCCAATGATGTCACAGCGTGGCACCGAGGCCTGTTCAGATCGGAAGACTTCTTGTTTTGCAGCCAATAAATGCATCATTCATTTTGCCCGTTTTGAAGGTCCTATGTAGTCTTGGGTATCCTATGATCCATTGCGAGTCCAAGCAAATCGGCTGCTCCGTGCTCTGAGGAAAAAGGTAAATGGCGCCAAACAGTGGTGAATATTGTAAGTGAAGTTTAATATAATACAAATAAGTGAATAGTTACGTCTGAAATGAATGAAAATAGTTGTATCAAATGGTTATTGAGTCAGATATGTGGCGGAAGATATGTGTTTTATTGAAAGGTTTTATCTGTTACTGTGTAAATGGGTTTGGCTGACATTTAAGCACAGATTCTAATATATCTGCAGTGTGAGGTCTATACGATGATATTCACGACGACAGCTCTGCTTGTGAACCTCGCATGCAAGCAGAGTTGTTTTGGCTTCGTAGATCAAATGCCACTGGCGCAATCTTGTTACGTATGTTCGTCGCGCTCAATGTTATCTCCCAAATTACCGAGTCATTTGAAGCGGTTCAGTGAGTCGTGTCCCGCTGCAATTAAATCCCATTGTTTACAGGTTTAAACAGGTTTTTTAGCCAGTGGGAAGAGGGTTTAAGACACAATCTCACCATCTGTATAAAGCAAAGGTTTAGAAACTAGACACCTTTTGTTGCAGAGCATTCATCAACAAATAGTAAATGAAACGAGTCAATTTTGGACAAATCGGACATTTCTCTAAATCCTATGGAAAGACGAAAAGAAAACTGGTCACGTAAAAAGCCAGTAACACTCAAAGTGTTAAAGGTATTTCTTGCTGGTTATTTGATGACAATCTTGAAGAACTTCTTAATTAAAATGTTATTGTTTATCAACATTTTTTGAACAAAAAGATGTGTTTGATTTAAAAAATATATATATAAAGAAAATAAAGAAAAAAAGCCTCACTAACAAATAGGAAGCTAAAAGTGGTAGCATTTTTAGGGTTTTGGCGACTTTTGTCTAAGTTATAAACGTTCAACAGATAGTAGTAGAAGATGCCTCAATTTATTTTAGGATTTGCTAAACCTTTTTATTTGCTTAAGCAATTTATGGAGTGAATTTTATTCCAGTATTGTTGCAAACAAGGTTTTCTAAGTAAAAAAAAAAAAATTAATCCAGAAATGAAACTTTCAGAATATTCTTTTTAAAGGAATGTTTCGAAAGTTTAATTTGTCACATTTGTATCTTTTGTTTCCCAAACTTTATTTCTTCCATTTCTTCACAGATTGTATATTTCCAAATTATATTTTTTTAATTGTTTTTGCAGATTGAGTGTTACAAATTGCTTTCTTTTCAACACAGAACATGTCCGTATGGACCAATAGAAATGTGTCTTCACTCCACACTCCAGGGGAAAGCCCACCCCATAAGAGAAAAGAATGTGATCTAGTAACACTAGAAAACACTGCAATTAGTAAAATAAAAAAAAAATAAAAATATGAAAAAGTTGTGGGAAAGATTTGAAAATATATATATATAATTTGAGAAAAGCGGAAAGTTAGTTTTTCCTTTTGGAATTTTTTTTTTTCAAATATTAGTTTCTGGATTGCAGTTTTTTTCCCATTTACATTCACAAAATGTTTTTGTTTTTTTCTAATTTCCTTTTACAAAATATGTACTTTACTTGCAACAAAAATGGAACAAAATTCATGCCATATATTTTAACCCCAGCTCACTCTACACTTCATTTCACCACATCAAATTAACTCATTTGGTGTCTTATTCAAATGGCCAGAGTCAGTGTATGTGTGTGTACTCGCACAGGTCTGAGGCGGGTGTGTCCGGGGAGAAGGGTCAGGTCTCCAGTGCTGCAGATGAGTGTCGCAGCTGCATCTCCAGTAGACCCCCCCAGACCCCCGAACAGTGAGTGTTCACCTCACAGCATCTCCATAAAACATCATCTGTGTTAATGTCTGTTAATCCCGGCTGCCAGTTCCAACTCTGTGCTTCCCTTTTATGTAACCCTTATTCTTTTAACTTTAGTATGGAGTGAATTTTGATCCATTATTGTTGCAAGAAAAAACACATTTTGTACATTGAAATAAAAAAAAAATAGAAACCCAGAAATAAAACAAGCCTTTAAGAGTGTTTTTTTATATATATATTTTCAAATGTACGTATCCTACTTAATTTTTTTTCAAATAGTTTTTCTCAAAATAAACTTTTTTTTCAGATTGAGTTTTTACAAATTGCATTCTTTCCAAAAGAAAGAATGCAAAAATAAGACAACCTTATCTTAGAAGAAAAACTTAAAGGTACACTATCCAACCGGTGTTGATTTTCCAGCGAGGCTCCCCCCAGAGGGCGAAAGTAAAAGTGCACTGTCGTAAATATGCACTCCTGGTTTCTCCGTCAAGCCAGGCGCGGTTGTTTTGAGCTTAGCATACAGGCGAACGCAACGAATGACTGATGCTGCGTTCACACCGAACGCAGCTGGCGCGACAGAAGCAGCGAGTTTACAAGCAAAGTCAATGGTTGACGCGCGTCAGGGCGCAGCAAAAGGTCCCGCGGCGCGTTTAAGCATCTGACGCGCGTGACGCACTGCTAACGTGCTGCTGCTCGAGATGGAAAAATTGAATTTTTGCTGCTCGACGCGCCGCGTCAACCAATGAGAGAAGCTGATCTGGGGGCTGGCAGGGAGAGAGACACAGCGCTGATGATCATAGCGCTATGATCACTCCTCTTAAACAGTTTATTGACGCCTAAATTAACTTAAAATGCAGAAATCTGCCGGCAGAATATGTTCGCTTTTATTGTCCTGCTGCCTGCAGTTTGGATTATTTAGATGAAAAACACCTACCAGCTGCCGCGGTGAACCGCGAGGAGGCGACCCGGCCAGAGGCTGCTGATGAATGGATTCCTACTGTCGGCGCACCGCTGGTATGTGGAGGTCTGAGTGGCTCCGACAGAAAAAATATTGAAGACAGGATGATAATCTGAATGAACTGACTGCACTGATTACGTTTTCAGGTGTATTTTCTCACTTAAACACATATTAAAACTACTTTATTCCCACTGATCACAGCAAATATAGCTGCAAGGCAGAGAAAGGATAGTGAAGCTCCGCCCAACGCGCGTCAGACACACTTTTGCACCGTTCAGCCAGAGCAGCAAAGCTGCTTCAGCCGCGTGTCAGAACTAACTGGTACAAGCAGCAAAAATGAAGCAGCAGACGTGATTTTGCTGCGTCCGGTGTGAACGTAGCATAATTGCACAAAGATCGCCACTGTGCTAGCAACGAGAATGCTTTTAACTGGGGCGTGTAGCAGTTCTCGCCGTAAAGCAAGACTGACTCTCGCAAGACTTCTGAGCCTGTGGGTGCGGGTCGGTGCTCCTGCAGTTGCAAGTGCGGTATTTTCCCCACAGACCACCAGGGCGGCTGAGAATACCTTTGTTCAACCTGAAATGACTCATTTAGTCATCCAAAACGTTATGGAACACATTAATTAACTGAAAAATGTTGCATAGTGTGCCTTTAAGAAAACAAGCTGTAAGAAATATTGCAAAATAAAAAGGAAAAATCTCTAAAAGAAAAGAAAAAAATACAAGAACAAATACTTGATATGAGAAAACAAGTTTGAATCAAAAAAAAAGTTTTGAAAGATTTTTTTAATTGGATTTTTTTTTTCAAATTTCCAATTACAAAACCTGTTCTTTGCTAGCAATAATAACCCAACAAATTTCCCTCCATACATTTGTTGAACAAATTTTCAAAACCTGCCTTGCTTCCTCTCCTCTACGTGCGGCTAGTGACGAACAGATCCCGGGCGCCCTCCTTGGCAGGAAGGACTTCTGGAGGAAGATGTTCAAGTCCCAGAGTGCCGCCAGCGACACCAGCAGCCAGTCAGAGCAGGACACTTCGGAATGCACCACGGCGCATTCTGGCACCACCACCGACCGCCGTTCTCGTTCCAGATCCCGACGCATTTCGCTCCGCAAGAAACTCAAACTCCCCATAGGCAAGTCCAACATTCTCTGATAGTCGATTTTAAAACAAAGGTTTTTTGTTTTATCTTAAAGCAAATGACCAAGTTTTCTTGATTTCAGCAGCAGTTAGCTCTCCCATGACCATATGTTTGATATCTGTACTGTTTGTCCAACATCCCGTCATCCCGAAAGGTCGGATCATTACATCTCTTCAATCCTCTGTCTGTCCCTCTGTGTGCCTTAGCATGCCGTAGGACCGCCCGCCTTCCAATCACTCGCTCTGTTTTACGTATGTGGACATGGATCCATCCTCATATCTTCTTTTTATCATGTCTGCTTGTCTTTGTCATGTGTACCCCATGTGTGCACGCCGCTCCAGTTTGGAATCAACTTTGTTAAAATATAAAACATAAATTTTCTTAGCTCATTTTTTTCTTTTTATTTATCTATACATGTTCCGCATGACTAAACCTACCTTTTAGTTTGTCAGTCATTTGTTTTATGGCCATATGATCCCATGCTATACTTCAAAAAATGCCATAAAGCTGGAAAAGAAGTGTCTTTTGAGCATTAAAATAGACATATATATAGATATATATATCTATATATATATATTATCAGTTTGCTAAGTAATGAAAATGTTTACCCGACTAATTTGTTTGTTCAGGTAACTAGGCACATCCAAGCAGTTCTGTTGCCTCTTGTGGCTTTCCACGTTTCATAACAGTGGTACCTTACCTAATTTTAGTGGGCTGAGGGGTGAACCCTGTAGAACACCACTTATAATTGTCAAATTTGCAATTCACAATTTTTTAATTAAATGGAAAATCTTCTATTGTGTGTCTTGTAAACCCTTCATTTTACTGATGGATCCCAAACTGCCACCGCTATCAAGATATTGTTAATCAGTTTAAATGTTGGAGCATTAAAAGCTTCTCTATTTTTATAATTAGCAATCTTCTCTTAGTTTTATGACCTTTGAGATTTACTGTATAGTTTCAGAAATAACTACATACTTATTCAGGTACTTTACTGTGTGGTTGTCAATCTAAATGGTTACATGTATGTCACATTCAAGTAGGGAAAATATATGATAAAAAGTAAAGAGGCTAAGGGGAGAACCCTGCGGAACACCACTTAAATTTGACAAATATCTGATCCATGCTTTAAAATGTATTTTCCAAAAGGAACCTGAAGTATCCTTATGTGTTATTCTGTTTCCTTTCAGTTTGACCCCGCATGCTTATATTTCTGTTTTAAGCAGTTGATGAATTCAAAGTTCAATGTCTTTGTTAGCTGTATCAGATGTTTGTTTTCTGGATTTCTTCAGGCAACTGGCTAAAGCGCTCCTCCCTGTCTGGGCTGACCGATGGGGTGGAGGACCTGCTGGACATCAGCTCAGTGGATCGCCTGTCCTTCATAAGACAGAGCTCAAAGGTCAGCAGGAGCAACAGCCTTATCTGTAACTTCAGATATAAAGAACCTGTTCCTGTGTCTTAGATTATTTGTAGATTTGTGGTCATAATTTTGTCCAAAACCTGTAATTATACTATAGGAGACAGTTATCTTTGTAAGAAAGCTCAGGAGTATGGAGTGAATTATGTCCGATTATTGTTGCATTTCTTGTAAATTTCGAGAATAGGTTTGCTATTTTCTCTCTTTTTTGATTTTTTTTTACGAATTACATATTTTCATATGTTTTTTTGAGGAGTTGATAAAAATGTAAAGATTTCATAATTAAAATGCTTACTTTTTCATAAGAAATTGACAAATTGCATACGTTCGAAAAAAAATTATTTCAGGACGTATTGCATTCTTTACAATATGCATTATACAGATCACATTCTTTTAACTTCAAGCCGAATAGAAACACTTTCTCTTCACCAATAAAAATGTTGCTAAGTTTAATTAGGCCAAGCCTGTCCTAGTAGGGAAAAGAAAATTATCTATATAACTCCATTTGAAAAACAGAAATTTGAAAAAAAAAAAAAAAAAGAAAATATAGAAATCAAATATTTGTAAAAAAAAAAAAATGTTAATAAAATGTTTTATATTTAATTAAATTAGAAAATAAATACGATAAAATAATTCGATTTAAAGTTGCAATTCTGGTTGGCATTTTTTTTCTTCCATTGACCACTTGAACAAAAATTCACTCCATACAAATGATTTATCGCTCTCTGATAAGCGAAACATGACCAATCAGACATAATCTGGCTTTACAATGCAGATTTATATTTTTATGTTGCTGTATCAGGTGAAGTTCACAAGTGCAGTGAAGCTGTCTGAAGGGGGCGCTGCGGGGCCGGAGTACGGCAGGGACGAGGAGGAGAATTTCTTCAAGCGGCTCGGTAAATGGAGGTCTGGCAGGAGGAATCCATCCAAGCTTCACCACACAGAAGAGAAAGATGGTAGACCTCCCCCACCCTGGGATGTCCCACAATCCATCCTGCTTTCGTCTCTTTTCTTTCCTTCTGTCCCGCCCATATCCGTTTTGTCCGAGTGCTGTCGTGTCTTGTCCTGTCTTTGCTGAGTCATGGTGGTCTGTTCTATTTTTCACCAGATTCTCCGTCTTCCCATGTCTGCTGGATAGCCTCCGGCTGCTGAATTAGTCCTCTCATCATCATAGTCTTTTTGATCATACAGTATCACTATAAGGTCTCGCTACAAGAAGTTTCCAGAAAGTTTAGAACAACAATACAATGATTCCCCTTTTTAACCTAAATCTGATTCCACTGTGTGGGTCATCAGATGCAACTTACCTTTATTAGATCTATTGAAAATATAAATCTGCACACTTTGGGCCACAGTAAGTGGGCTATTACACAGTTAAAGTGAAACGGGATTTTAACTGGTCCCCTATAGCAGTGTTTCTCAACCGTTTTCGCCTTATGTACCCCTTCGTTCATTTTTTCGTACCATTAGCACCCCTCTCAGTCAAAAGGATTGATTGTCCAAAAGTGGAGCGTACAATACCTGATTATAAATAAAAACTATTTTAATTGATATTTTAATTTTAGCATTTAAGATTTATTTGCATCTCAAATAAAAAGCAACATAAATATGTTGCCTGAAAGTTAGTAATGACATGAAATATATAAAAAAAATAAAATATAAACCTGTATCTATAAAACTGTAACTCCCTTATAATCACATTTAAACTCACTTGTTATGAATTTGGAACAAAAAATAGAAAAGCTCATTATCATCTGACTGACTTAATTAGTTTTACTATGTTTTCATCAAGTCATCTAACTTTGCTTTGTTAACATGTTCTCTACATCCAGTATGTTCCTTTGCTTAGTTATGTTTATCAAAGCTGTAGGTGAACTCAAACATAAGAAAAACTTACTTTTTGGTTGATACAAGCTTGTTTAATTTTCCTACCTAAGAAATAAAATATTTTCATGCAGCCCTTGCAATGCACTAGCGGATCACTAAAGGTACACCTTGGAATCACTGCCCTGTAGGTTTATTTGTGGGCTCTCTAGTGACCCCTATGACCCTCACTTGTATTTATTTAACAGGGGACAAGTGTAGAGGATAAGGTGACTATGAAGTAAGAATTGTACCAAAAGTGCACACACATAATACTCATAAAGCAATTTTATAAAAAAAAAAAAAAATAGACATGTAAACTACTGTTTACTTGAATAAGGTGACCAGATTTCTGAAATCATATCTTGGGGCATTTCCAGCCCGTAGATAAAAAGAAATACATCTCACCAAGAAGAAATTAAGAAACTGGAACAGTAATGGCTTCCTTTATTTTTAAACATTTATTCATATTTAAGCAACAAAAATCAAGTATAAAAGCCAGGAACGTGACCGCCACTGTTAGTATTTCATAAACTTAAGTAAAATGAATAAATCAATAGTTTTATTAATAGAAAACTAGGATTGTGTGTCTGGGTTGGAGGAAAGGGGAGGGAGTGGATGGGTTACCAGGGCTTTTCAATTTTGTGGGGCCTAAAGAGCTCTGCTGTCCCCTAAGAGGGAAAAGAAAGAGTATAATATAAACATTTAACCTATGTCTTGAGCTGTCTGTGGAGACTGTTCTCCTGCCTCCTCAAAACAGCACAACACATTCTGTTCACATCTACATACCTATCATGAGAATTAGGTAACATTTAGCAAAAACAAGTAATGGTCAAAGCTCCGGGTAAAGGATGATATATGTGTATTACTGTCAATTGATCGCATCAGGGGCCTCCGCATCTCAAAGAAGCAGATTCATTTCTCCCACTATGCACAGCTACTTCCTGATATTCAGGCAGCTCTTTATCTTTCCTTCCATACTGGACAAGCTGATTAATCCAGGTGTGTCTTGGTGGTTACTGAGGTCTGTTACTTATTCTGGTTTATTATGATCAAATATAATAATATCTCCCTGAAGTGTAGCCAATCTCAGGAAGTTTACTTTGTGAGGTTGACGCCATCCTCAAAGTGACAGAAGCTGGCGTGTGGGTAGCGCAGAGGTTAGTGCACATGACCCATGTACAGAGGCCTTAGTCCTTGGCATGGCTCAACAGAGTTCTTTGACTGCATGTCTCTCCCCCTCATGTCTCTCATACCCCCTTTCCTGCCAGCCTATTGTCAGAAAAATGAACCACTAGTGCTGTAAAAACTCAAGAAAAAGTGGCAAAGCTGACATGAGAGCACAATTGAGTAGGAGAGAATTTCTGGGTGAATAAAAAGCAAGAAAAGTAGCCTGAAAAAAAAAAAAAAAAAAAAAAAAAAAAAACAGACATGGGAAAACTTACATGGGAAGCCAAAAAAAAAAAAACACAAGGAACCAGCACTGAGGAACTGCACAGGGAGAGTATATATAGGAGACTAAACAAAGACGAGACTAATGAGCTGATTGGGAGCAGGTGTGAACAGAGGCTTCTAGAAAGGAGCTGGGGGAAAAGGAGAACAACACAAGAGGACAACCAAGAAAAACCTGAGAATTTAAATATTTCCAGAAAACACCACAAAATAGGAATTAAAACTGGAAAACAAAGAAAAATATATATCAAAGTGAAGCTGAAAACTCAAAAGAAAAGACCGGGACCATGGTATTAAACCTGCATGCATAAAAAATTCAAAATGCGAGTGGAGAGAAGCTTACATGCGTGTATTTTAAATAAAACAGATCATATGAGTATTTCTTCCGTGTGCGCACGTTTGGCAAAAAACTGACTTCATATTCCATAATGCTGCAAAGGCGAAAACGTGTTGTGAGTCGATTGCATGCACATCTAGATGTACATCATCAAGGATAATATAATTAATTGTTTCCGACAAAGAAGTGTACTAATCAAGCAATAGATGCAGAAAATACATGTTTAAACTTATATTTTTCAAAAAAGTCAAACCTATTGCTGAAAATATTTCCATTTTGTATTTTTTCCCCTTTTGGATCTGTGGGAGTCATATTTTAAAAAGCTCAAAATAACCAGACATCATTATAATAAGTTCTTGTGTTGTTCTGCATGCCCCTTTTTACCAAAAGGACGTACCAGATGTTCTTGAAACCCCGGAATTGTTTCTAAATACCTCATCTCTTGAAGACCATCTTTCTGCTGCCGAGCATATTTCCATGCCAGTTCAAGCATGATGCTGTTGGTGCTCCCTCTGTCTCTTCTGTGGTGATGTGGTGGTGGTATTTTCCAGTGCCTAAGAAAAGACGGTATCGTCTGCATACAGCTTGATCTCCGTAAAGCTGTGCTCACACTTGTCATTTTCTTTGGATGCTATTTAAACAAAAGTATCACTGAGCATCCTTTGGCAGCCCTACTTACCTACAGTAAAAAAGAAAAGAAATACATTATTCAAGTGTAAGCTCAGCATGTGGCTGTATCATCTCACTCATTTTTCCATTAATAATTGTTAAATGTAACAGAAAGCCATCTTGCCTTATACAAAGTGAAATCCTCACTGAAGTTTTTCCTCTGATAAAGTTCTTATCACCTGCTCTTTTGTACCGCCTTTCATCTCCATCTCGTTCTCCAGGACCTCATGGTTTTCAGGAGCGTTTAGCAGCTAGTCAAGAGGCCATGAAAAACAAGAATGTGGTAAATCTGGGCGCGATCCGGCAGGGAATGAAGCGCTTCCAGTTTCTCTTAAACTGCTGTGAGCCAGGAACCATTCCCGATGCCTCCATCCTTGCTGCCGCTTTAGATTTGGTACTCCTTACTCTGAGTGTAGTGTTAAATGTCAAAATCTATCTGTTCATACTTTTTTTTTAACTTATTTTCTCATTTTAGGAGGCTCCAGTTGTGGCCCGTGCTTCCCTTTTCCTAGAATGTGCCAGATTCGTCCACCGTTGTAACCGTGGGAACTGGCCAGAGTGGATGAAGGGCCACCATGTTAACATCACCAAAAAGGGCCTATCCAGGGGTCGGTCGCCAATAGTGGGCAACAAAAGAAACCAGAAGCTCCAGTGGAACGCTGCCAAACATTTCTGCCAGTGGGGAGATGTGAGTTTAACATACATGGAATGGTCCTGGTGACAATGGGAAATGAGCCTTCGATCACAGTTTCTGTGTTTTATCTTCTTAGGCTATCGGCACAAGGCTCAGTGAGCTCTGTCACTCAGACAGCGAGAGTCCCGCCAACATTCTGGGTTATATTTATGACGAAGAGACTAAGCGCAGAATGAGAAAAGAGGACGAGGAAGAGGATTATCTGGAGGACAGTAAGGAACATCAGAACACTTTCTAGTATGGCCAAGTCAAAGTACGGACCAGTACAGACCTAGTATGGCCTAGTCAAATTAAGGACCTAGTACAGCCTAGTCAAAGTAAAGACCTAGTACGACCTAGTCAAAGTATGGACCACTACAGACCTAGTATGGCCTAGTCAAAGTACAGACCTAGTATGGCCTTGTAAAAGTGTAGACCTAGTACAGTTTTGTTAAAGTACAGACCTAGTACGCCCTGGTCAGAGTACAGACCTAGTACATCCTAGTCAAAGAACAGACCTAGTAAGGCCTAGTCAACATATGGACCTATTAAGGCCTACTGTAGTCAAATTACAGACCTAGTAAGGCCTAGTTAAAGTGCATACCTAGCAAGGTCTAGTCAACATATGGACCGAGTACAGCTTATTTAAAGTAGGGACTTAATATGGCCTAGTCAAAGACCTAGTACAACTTAGTCAAAGTACAGACTAGTACAACCTAGTCAAAGTACGGCCTAGTACAACCTAGTCAAAGTACGGCCTAGTCAAAGTACAGACCTAGTAAGGCCTAGTCAACATACGGTCATAGTACCACCTAGTGAGAGGAAAGACCCAGTATGGCCTAGTCAAAGTACAAACCTAGTACAGCCTAGTCAAATTAAAGACCTAGTACGGCCTAGTCAAAGTATGGACATAATACGGCCTATTCTAAATGCATACCTTAATTTATCTGAGAATAAGTTTAAAGGGCTTACAAATTATTGCTTGAAGATACAAATTGATGTTTGAAGATTCCTTCCATACTTTTGACTATGTATGGAGTAAATTTTGTTTCATTATTGTTGCAAGTGGATAACAAGTCTTGCACATGGAAATGGGGAAAAAATGGTAAAATAAAATTTGAAAAAAAAAATGCACTCTAGAAATCAAAGTAATTAAAGCATGAGGTACTTTATATATGCATAGACTTTTACCATAAGCCATGTATCAAGAACATTAACTTGGGTATATCATTGATAAGTACACAAAAGGTAAACTGAAAGTATACTTCTTTGTTCAGTTTTTAATTTGAATACTTTGAGTTTACTTGCAAAGACTACTTTCTGGAAAGCATTGTCAGTGTTATACTCTGAAAAATTAGCTTTATTTTAAATTCAACATTTCTGAATTAACTTATAATGCACATTTTATTGTTTGTAAGTTTAAAATAATTTTTTATCCACAGACACGGTTAATCCCACAAAATGCGGCTGCCCTTTTGCTCTAAAGATGGCCGCCTGTCAGTTGTTGTTGGAAATCACCACCTTCCTGCGAGAGACGTTCCCCTGCCTACCCCGCCCTCGAACCGAGCAGCTTGCGGTAATTCTTTTAATGTTCTAAAGGAGAAGCCTGTGTATGGTGTGAATTTTGTTACATCATTGTTGCAAAAAAATGTTTTGTAAATGGAAATAAAAAATATATGCTTTTCTTGAAAAAAAATTTAGAAAGAATAAATATTTTGTTAATGGAAAGTTAAAAAAAGAAATACGCATTTTTAAATGATAATTTCCATATTTTAGAAAACGATTTTGATTTAAAAAATTGGAATTTGAAGCAATGAAACTTAAAAAAAATCTTAAAAAAATCATAATAAAAAAAAACTTTTTGATAATAACTTTGTTTTTCTGTTGATTTTTTTTAATTTGTTGTTTTCAAATAATTTTTTTTCAAAATAAAATTTTTCTTTTTTTAGATTTTATATTTTCAAATTTCTCTCCTTCAGATTAAAGGTTTTCTTTATTTCAAGCACTCTCTTTTGATACTTAAAAATGCAATTTGAAAAGCAAATTCTGACATTTTACACTCAAATAATTTGAATTTTGCAAAAACAAAATCAATAATAATGAGAAAAATAGGAAATATTTCAAAATAACTGATTGAAAATAAAAAAAATGGGACAAATAATTAAAAAGAAAAATAATAATCATCTGAAAAAATAAAATCTAAAGTCAGCAAAGTTAGTCCAAATGTTTTTCAGTCAAGAAGTTTTTAAAATCTTCATTTTTGAATCCCCTGCAACAATAATGGAGAAACATTCACTCCATACTGTCATATCAACACAACTGAGCGACATCAATGTGTTTGATGAAGGACCTGGACAGCTGCCGTCTGCGTCTGGACCCGGAGCTGGGCCGCCATCGCTACGAGAGGAAGATCAGCTTTGCGGGAATCCTGGATGATGAAGATGGGCATGACTCTCTCAACAGCAGCAGCCACACTCTGAAGTCTGACACGACGGGAGAGGAGAAGAAGACCCAGGAGGCTCAGGGTGAGACTACAGCAGCCCTGGTTTTATTGAACCGCTTTCTTTTGATGGTAGGTAATCTCTGTTACTCCTGTCGCTTCCCAGCACCTGTCAGGAAGATTCGAATCGGAGGCGCTCGGTTGCTTCAGATCAAAGGGGCCCGCAGTTTCCGTGTGAAAAAGGGGGGGTCCCTCTCTTCGATCCGCCGTGCGGGGAGCCTGAAGAGCACCAAGCTGTCTCGGCAGGACTCCGAGTCGGAGAACGAAGAAGGGCTGCTGTCACAAACGCAGAGCAGGGACACCGTCACTGACATCGGTGAGGTTGAGATGAAACACCAGGCTCAGCTTGAAGACTTGTACAAAGCTGCTGCCTGATGTCACACTTCAAAGGTTTTTAGAGGTTAAAGCAAAGAGGGGAAAACACTTTGAAATGTGTTTTTTTTCTAATTTACACCATAGAAGAAGCAACTTAAATTAGTTAAGTAAAATATGTACTTTACACTGTTTGATGTTGGTATTTTTTGTGGATTAATATATACAACCGTATATAATATTCACTTATTCAACATAATATGGTGTAAATCAAGTCTAATTAATTCATATAAGTTGATTCATATACTCAAAGATTTAGTCAGGGCTGTCTAGGCTAGACTAAAATAATAAATCTTAATGTCGGCCTTTTGACAGACATCTGGGTTCCCTTCCCCTGGGTTCTGTCCAGCACATTGTATCTCTGCTTCTGTCTCCTTGAACCCCAGTCGGCCTCGGCAGATGGCCGCTCACACTGAGCCTGGTTCTCCTGGAGGTTTCTTCCTGTTAAAAGGGAGTTTTTCCTCTCCACTGTCGCTACAACCATGCTTAGTGTGAGGGATGGCATTCAAGTCAATGAGTCGATGCAATCAACTGGTTTTCCTTAGATAGAATCAATTTGATTGTATGATCTGGTGAACTTTTAAGTGCCTTGCGATGACATGTGTTGTGAATTGGCACTATAGAAATAAACTGAATTGATTTAAATTGAATGTCAATGCAACCGGTTACACTGAAAGTTCCCAAAGTTAAACTGAAAACATGAAGATATGCTGAATTTAAAGAGCAAAATAGCTGCAGAAAGTGTATTTGTAAACATGTGTGGAGTGAATTTGCAACCAAAGAAATGCAAATTCGAAAAAAAAAAAAAAATGCAGTCCAATTATGAAAATTTGAAAAAAATATTTATTCAAAAAGGGTTTTTAGGGGTAAGTTTGCCGTTCTCTCAGATTTTTTTAAATTTATTTTCCCCTTTTTTTACCCCATTTTCTGTTTCAAGTAATAGGCGTTAGCATCTTATCTACTTTGTTTGCATTTTTGAAGTATTCTCCTGCTGCTAGTTTTTCTTCTGATTCAACAAATGGTTAAATTATTTTCAGTATTTCGATCTGATAGTTTAGATTAAATTTCCTTAAATAACTTTTTATGTGATATCTTTTCTTGATTTCAGCGTTGTAGCGTTTTTATTTAATTTTATACAGTGTATGGCAGTTTTCTTCCATTTTTAATGAGTCTTCATGTTTAATGTTGCAGGAAGTCCCTTCAGCACCAGTGAACCCAGCATTGAGCCTGAGGGTCAGGGCTCAGGAGGAGCTGAAGACAACTACCATCGCAACATGTCCTGGCTCCATGTATGTCCATCAACCTCAGCTGATGGTTCTACTGTCTGTCTCCTATGGAGTGAACTTTGTTCCATTATTGTTGTAAAGAACATGTTTTCTTAATGTGAATTTAAGAAAAAAATATTCAGTCTAGAAAAAAGCTTAATGAGACTAACTTGGCTGTTTTCTTAGATTTTATTTTTTCAGTGTTTCTTTTTTTTTTTTTTTATAAAATTAAGGAAAATAGCAAAGTGACTATCGATTTGATTAAAATTTTCAGTGTTTAATTTCCAGATTTATGTTTATTTCTCTTTTATTTCCATTTACAAAGCATGTTCCTGGCAAAATAAAGGAACCAAATTCACTCCGTATCTGACTCCCTCCCTGTCGTCCGTCTCTGTCTCCTTACAGATAATGATTCTGCTGTGTAACCAGCAGAGTTTCATCTGCACACACGTAGACTTCTGTCACCCACGTTGCTACCAGCATCACGGCCGCTCCTGCGCCCGTCTTGTCCGTGCCATCAAGCTCGTTTACGGCGAGACGGTGGACAGCCTGAGAGAGGACAGTGCCTCTGGTGCCCCTGGTGGACGCGCAAAGAAGAACAAGGAGGTAAAAAGCAAGAGCTATTGAAGGTTAGAGTATGGCGTGGGCTTTCTAAAAAGTGTGATTTTCCATGTAGTGTTCAGATAAATCCTGCTTGAGGACTCCCTCCATGAAGAGGAAACCTACCGACTCCAACGCAGAAGGGAAGAAGGACACCGGCATGCTCAAGTACATCCGCAACCAGGTTAGCTGGCTTTCTCAAGTAGTTTCAACTCAATCAAAATTTTATTTTATAACAATTACAACAATAAAATCAAGTAAAAGAAGGAAAACAAATCATCAGTGATTCTTTTCAGGTGATGAGTTTGTCCCCAGCTCCTCTTTCGCTGCTGATAAAGGCTGCCCCGATTCTCACTGATGACATGTACGGAGACATTCAGCCCGCCGCCTGGGAGCTGCTGCTCAGCGTTGACGAGCATATGGCGGCTGCAGCTGGTTAGTCGAAACTCTGGAACGAAAGCTTTGCCCTTTAGCTCATACAAATACTAACCCTTTCCACGCTCCTTCAGCCGCCATGTTCCTCCTCTGCGCCGTCAAGGTCCCCGACGCCGTGACCGAAATGATGATGGCGGAGTTCCAACACCAGGAGGCCTGTCAGCGTATCAACTCCGTCCTAAAGTTCTACACACTGTGGCGTTTCCGCTATCAGGTGTGGCCTCGGATGGAGGAGGGAGCCCAGCAGATCTTCAAAGTATGGAGTACCCAGAGTGTACACAAAACGAAATTCCTTTACGTGCAGCTTTTCGACAGTGAATGAGCAGCAGCTTAGCAGTGAAGATGAACATTTCTATTTAAAAAGTGCAGCAGTGATGAAAATGTAAACCAATGGTGCAAAAGGCATTGATGTGATAACCAATCTTTCTGACCACTTCTGTGCTGTTTCTATCAGATCCCCCCGCCAAGCATCAACTTCACTCTGCCGTCTCCAATCCTTGGCATGCCCTGCGTCCCCATCTTCGACCCCCCCTGGGTGCCCCAGACCACTGGCAGCGTCCAGGACCCGATTAACGAAGACCAGTCTGTACGCACAGATGGGTTACTTTTACATTTTTTTAACAGGAATTTAACAAACTCTCTTTTGATTCTGATGACGACCTTTCAAGCACACATTACATACTATAATTCGTATCTATGAACTGTCTTTGTTTTTAGTTGCCCACATTAATTCCATCAGTCCATACCATAGTAAGTTGGCATCTCTGTCTGAGTGTTTGGGCTGATGCATCTTGTTAACTCAGGTCAACGAGAACATGAGAGGAGACTGGTCCTATCTTGTGCTGCATCTTTCATCGTCGGGAAAGTCATCCAGCACTTGCTTTGACTGAATAAAGAGTGGAAAAAAATAACAGCATGCATCAGGCGTACAGATGTGTTTACTGTTGTGCTGTTCATGCATGGTTTCATCAACCGAGAATGGCTGAATGTTGATTGTATCATGTGTTTAGAGGTTCTGTATGGAGAGATACCAAAGCACTTTGAGGGATACAGTAACTTTCACCCAGTTTGTCCCTACGAACATGTCCTTAAAGGTGATAGCTACAAGTTTTAACTCCCCCGACCAGTAGGTGGCGTTCTCACGCTCACCCACTCAGTTTCTGTTCTGTTTGCCGGTAGGTAGGTCCCTTAATGCTAATACGAACCCAACCATACATTTACTTGCCTTTTTTTTTTTTGCTCACTCAAAAGGATCCACGATTCATTGAATATCTCAGCCTAAATACGTTATAATTTTTCTGTTAGCTTAAAAATTGCAGCTTGTGACGTGTAAAAAACACATCACTACTTCAAAATTAAATATCCTTTGTTATATTTTCCACTCATAGAGGTCACCATCTTTTTCGCCTGCACAATGCCTGCTGGGTTAATGAATGAGTTAGGTGTTACTTAAAGAAAACCTACGAACAACAGGACAGCTAACATTACCAGAGTTGTTTTTTTACGCATTTGCAAGGTATAAATATAGACATTGCATCACCGCCCCAAAGTTTTCATGAGCTATATATGAGATATTTGTTGAAGTAAACAAATGTGATCAATTTGTGATCTACTGTTTACTATATTAGTTATACCTAACACAATTAGCAGAAGCTAACATAAGAATCAAATCGGAAGATAATGTTTACGGTGACAATGAAGCCTCTCCATTCGTGAAAAATTTTCCCAATGCTAACCGTCAACAGTCTCAGTTGGAAACTGGGGCTCTTTGTAGCATAGCTCCATATCTGGGTAAAGCCGGGCATACACTGTGCGATTTTTTCAGTCGTTGCATGCAGCAACAGTTCACGCTGTACAACAAAACCCTGCGGTTTCATCCAACAGTTTGAGTTCACAGTTCACGACTCTACGTCTAAAAACCACATGGGACTTAGCTCCGCAGTAAGATGGAGCTAATCTGACTCGTCTATCCGGAAGCCAAATGAGTAGAAGAGGAATATGAAGCTCACTAGAATGAAACACGATGCCTTGGCAATTTGTGCAATTTTGTGCTGAAAGCCCTAAAAAGAAAAGGCGATAACGTATTTGGACAAATACATGGCTGAGCAAACTTGGCTACTATGGTGTGTCAATTTTACAGAACGAGCTTCCCTTGTTTGTGCATGCCCACTGAACGATTTTCTTCCGACCTTACGATTCCTAATCAGGAGTTGGTCGTGAGAGGCTGATCGCCCCTCATTACCCCCTGTACACTACACGACGCACGATCAGACTGAAAGTCGGGCGGATTGGAAAATTCTCGCACGACTGGAAAGTCGCCCCAAAAAGGGCAAAAAATCGCAGTGCAAGCCCGGCTTAAGCATCTCTTAGCACCTAGCAGTAACCACACAAACACCAGCTTCTTCGGCTAACTTCCTTAGTTTGGTCTTCCAGGTTCAATGTATTCCAGTTCAAACTGAAAAGGTTTAACGTTACTAATTCTGCTTTGACAAAATGGAGCTAGCACTACAGGAGCTAGCATACATCATTTAACCAGAATGCATTGCAGCAACATGGTGACATCTGTGTAACAACATATTATTTAAAACATATTTCAATTTTTGAAAATTTATCACCTTACGATATCTTTTTAATAATTTGAAAATGGATCCCTTTAAGTCGGCACCAATGCTATAAAAAACCTTGACCGATTTTCCCGCTTCTTTTGCCTCTAGCTTGTTTTACTTGAATCCGACTTCAACTCAGCATTCCTATTGGTACCGAATCCTTTCTTGGCATCTTAACCAGAAGTAAACATTTATATATTTTGGACCCATCAAAATATATTAAACAGTTATTTATATACTTTCACTAAAATCAACACTTTTATCCTGCACCACACTTGATGCACTGTGGGTGTATTATTTTTATTATTTTAAATGACCTATTTGGATTAAAAAAGTTGTAGCTGTGACCTTTACTAGAGATGGTTTTTCAAAATCTCCGCCCTAGCAGTTCAGGCCAAAGCTGAACAAATACTATTTTTGGGTTGAAACTAACGCATACAGCCCTGAACACACCATCCCGCCATTCCACATGGCGGTAACTGTATTTAGAAACAAAAGGAAGATTAATAAAATAGAAGAGGATATTAATGTTAGATTAATCAAGTTTTATTTATTTCGATTTTTTTTATAAAAATTACAGAATAAAATCTGATTATAACTTCAAAAGTCAAGATGGCCTACAACGAATGTTCAGCTATATGGCTTAAGTTAGCCATTTAGCTATGGTGCGTTCAGTGACTGTTAGAGGATTTTAAAGTGCGGGGAATTGACAGTTTGGTGCTTCCCTAAACTTTGTTCAATGCTTTTTTTTGTTCAGGATGGGTCTGAGGCCAGTGTTCTGGAGGGGAGTTACTGTCCTGTCTCCTCCAGTCATATAAAAGAAAAATAATTTTTTTTTACAACAGTTGTGCCTGCTTTCCAGAACGGTTTGAACCTACTTGGGGCTGTTTTCTGTTTAGAAATCCTTTTCCGCTCGAGCTGTGTCGCGCTCCCACCAGCGAGCCGAGCACATCCTGAAAAACCTGCAGCAAGAGGAGGAAAAGCGGCGCCTAGGCCGCGAGGCTAGCATCATCACGGCCATCCCGGTGGCTCAGGAGGCCTGCTATGAGCCCACCTGCAGCCCTCCACCAGAGCAGGAGGAAGAAGGTGGTAGCTGCAGGCTGCACAGGTGGTGGATTTAAAGGTCGGCTCTCTGACTGCCTGTTGTTTTTCCACATTGATCCCGCCAGCAGAAGAAGTGGTGAACCTCACAGCCCGCCGTCTTTCCGTCAGCCCGTCCTGCGCTTCCAGTAACTCTCACAGGAATTACTCGTTTCGCCGAGGTTCGGTCTGGTCCGTCCGCTCCATGGCGAGTGCAGAAGGTATGAAGATAAAAAAAAAAAAAAACATTTAGTCTTCTTTCCCTTCCTTTCTTGTATCCTTCCTCTTTTGCTTGTGTCCTTGCTACTTCATGTATTTGTTTCCTGCTTCCTTGCGTCCTACCGTTTTCCCTTCCTTCTTTTAAATCCTTACTTTGCTTCTATCTCTGGCGGTTTTCAGGTCCCAGGTGTAAATCCTGACACTGTTAAAATGTCTGCAATGAATTCATGATCATGTCTGTTAAATATTAAAGAAAATCTGATAACCTTTAGTGGTTTGTCATTTAAACAGATGAAGAAAACACAACAGACCACACTCCTACTCACCACATGCTTCAACCGCCTCAAGCTGTCTTCCCAGCATGCATCTGTGCCGCAGTGTTACCAATAGTCCATCTCATGGAAGATGGAGAAGTCAGAGAGGATGGTGTGGCTGGTAGGTAAAACTAGAAATTTTTCTGTTCTACAGAAACTTTGCAGCTTTTTGCACCAGAATGCAGTTCTTGGTCGACTGCAGTTCATGTAGTGCACCACTAGATGGCAGTGAACCTTACACACTGGGTCTTTAAAATAGGAAAAACTATAGCATATCAGAGCCTATTTTTGTTTTGTATTGTGAAGAAGAAAGGTATGGAGGGAGTTTTCTCCCATTATTTATGCAAAAAAAGACTTTTGTAAATTGGAATTTGAAAAAACGAATACAATCCAGAAATTAAACTTTGAGCATTTTAATAATAAAAAGGTTTTGAAAGTAACTTTTCTGTTGTTTTTATCCCCATATTTCTTTTTTCGAAAAGCATTTTACAGATCACCCCAGAAGGGAAGGAAAAGTACTCTCTCTAAATGCAATTGAAAAAAAAATGGAATTGAATTCAATTCAGTTTATTTATATAGTGCAAATTCACAACACATGTCATCTCAAGGCACTTTAAAGTTCACCAGATCATACAGTTAAATTGATTCAAAGTTTTCTATCTAAGGAAAACCAGTTGATTGCATCAACTCATTGGCCTCAAATGCAATCCCTCACACTAAGCATGCTTGTAGCAACTGTGTGAACCTCCAGCAGAACCAGGCTCACTGTGAGCGGCCATCTGCCGAGGCAGACTGGGGTTCAAAGAGACAGAAACAATGATAAAGGGAACTGTAAAAGGCAGCCCCGTCCAGGAAACACAAAGCCAGGAAGACAAGCTCAGAGTCAACTCCCAAATCAGAGGATGAAGTCACAGTCAGAGAAACAGGACTACACTGAAAAACAGGCCAATCTCCAACATCTATAAACAAAAGTGTTAATGGCAGCAGCACAGCTGATATTTCTCTCTAGGATGGTGTCAAAACCTATTGTTTGATTAAAATGATTTACAAAGCTTTGGTTCAGGAAGGATTTTTTTTTTTATTGCAACAATAGTGGAACAAATTTTATTTCATGTTTTATTTAATAAATTCTTGCCTGTTGATTCCCTGCTTAACATTTACTGTTACTTTTCTTTAGTGAGCGCCGTCGCACAGCAAATCCTCTGGAACTGCCTTATTGAAGATCCCGCTCTGGTTCTCCGCCACTTCCTGGAGAAACTCACAGTGAGCAACAGACAGGTGGGAGAGCATTTTGAGACAAAAATTAACAATCGACAGCAAAAAAAGTAAAGCTTTATTTCTTATACATAATCGTAGCAAAAAAGCTAAATGCTAATGGTGATGATTGCTGATGACAATAGTTAAACCACATGTTTTAAGATATTTCCTTTTTTTTATCAAGATGCACAGCTAATTTAAACTCCAGATATGGTTCATTATGGTTCTGACACGGTGGCCGGAAGGTGCAAACCAACATTACAAAATCTAAAAAAACTTTTACAAGTTCCAAAACAAATTATCATTTTAGAAAACTAATTTACATTTAAAGAATAAAAATAAATAAAACACTTTTAAAAATTCAAAACAAATAGCATTTTAAGAAAACAAATAAAAAATTTTCGAAACACTTTTACAAGTCCCAAAACAAATTATAATTTCAGGAATTCAACCGGAAAGGGTGGGTATTGACTCCGAGGCTGAACCGGTCTTGTGCGAAATTCTGTTTCTGTTCCCCCTGTCGGGAGCGCGCATTGCAGCCAGAGAGGCGGGTCTGACCATTTTCAAGGTGCTCCTGATCATTTCTCGGTGAAAACAGCTCAAATAATAGTGTCAACTTTGTAACATTCTGTTTAATCGGTTGCTCTTTTTGCAAATTTGTAAAAAAACTCAGGGTAGCGAGGCTTTGGACATCATCAATTTTGGCCCCTCCCCTAAATGAATCTCACGCGCTTCCTGGAAACACCCCCTCCATTACCCGACACCTCATCTCATAACATCACTACTGACACAAGAGGGCAACAGAGGGTAAACAAGAACTCAAATACAACCAAAAACAACTGGAAAACACAATATGGAAAGAAAACCAATGAAAACTCAGAAAGAAAACTTAAACAGAACCAAAACCATGACAACCATGTTATCTGCATTATCAGTGCAGGTTTAATGTAGGTGAGCGGTGGAATGTCAAGCGACCAAGTCAAGCTGGACCACATGTAAAATTGAATGTATTCTTGTTTGGAGTGAATGCAGCTTATAAATGAGGAGCGGTTTTCTCTTATCAATAATTGAAACTAAACTTACTTTACAAGATGTCCTTGTTTTGTGGTTTTACTCCAGGATGAGCTGATCTACATGTTGAGGAAGCTGCTGCTAAACATCGGGGATCTGCCCGCTCAGACTTCTCACATCCTCTTTAACTACCTGGTAAAACATAAAATAATATCCAAACTCTGATAAATATTATATTAAAAAAAACACTTTTTCTGAACCTGACTTCTTCTTCCAGGTGGGGCTGATCATGTATTTTGTGCGCACTCCTTGCGAGTGGGGTATGGACGCCATCTCTGCCACGCTGACCTTCCTGTGGGAGGTGGTGGGGTACGTGGAGGGGCTGTTCTTCAAAGACCTAAAGCAGACCATGAAGAAGGAGCAGTGTGAGGTCAAACTGCTCGTCACTGCGTCCATGCCAGGTCAGCACACTGACGTTTAAACTCTTTGGCGATTCAAAACATCTGGTTTATGATGATCTATTTTGTGATGGGTTCGCTTTAGGAACCAAAACCCTTGTGGTACACGGCCAGAATGAGTGTGACATCCCAACTCAGCTGCCAGTCCATGAAGACACCCAGTTTGATGCCCTATTAAAGGTAAAGACCAAAGAGATTATTTTTGATGGATGTTTTATGCTTATCAGGCAAAGATAGTCACCAAAATAGCCATGTGCTTGTAGCATAGTCCAGCATAAAGATGTTTACAACAATGAAATGGTTGCACAATGTGTCTCTAAGAGTTGCACTATGGGTCGAGAATTCATTAACTATTTGCCATCTTTTAGAAATGGGTGTAGAAAACTGTTTAGAAAAGGCTGATGAACTATTCACCAGTTAATTTAACTTAGTGGTTTCTTCGTCTCACCAGGAGTGCCTTGAATTCTTCAATATTCCCGAAGCAAGATCTGCTCACTACTTCCTGATGGACAAAAGATGGAACCTCATTCACTACAACAAGGTAAACCCTGCGGTTTCGTCTTACAGTTTGAGCTGTGGATGCGTGCAACGATTGAAAATATTGCACAGTGTATGCCCAGCTTAAAACTGCGCCATCTCAGGATTAATCTGGCTCCCCAAAGTCTAAAGGACAATTTGTACTTCTGACGCATAGCCTCTGCAACCGTCATATCTGTCTTTGTGCACGACCAAAGGTGGATCGAGGAGGTTCGGAAGTTCAACCACTTGTAGGACGCCTCAGATATGTTGTTTCGGAAAACAAACACTCCTGCCGGCGCCGCCGAAGAAGTTCTCGTGACCATCTGCCGAAGTTCTCGCAAGTTCTTGAATACGCTCCCCCTAGCGCTTTGGCAGGAAACTGCTGTGAATCCCTAGAAAATTCCAGACCAATGATGCAGAAGTGTACCATCAAAACTGGTTCGCGACCAGACGCAAACGACATTTGATGTGTGCGGTTGCAGAAGTATAATTCACCCTTAAAGCTGTAGCTGCCTGCATACAACTAGCCTGGTGAGGCCATCCTGATCTCGCAAGCTTTCAAGGTTTTTCTCGCAAATCAGCCTGGAGACTCTCCATTAAAGAAAATTTGGAGCCATTCACCAAACGAATGTCCAATTAGCGTTGGTTTTGAGGCGGGTTGAGGTGTGACGCAACGAGAAGCACGACAGTTCAGTCTAAAGAACATGGCGGCTTCAGCCGATTAAACTAGCGTTAGCGTAGCTATCGAGCAAGTTTTATCAGAATTACAGAGTATTTCTTCACTGAAAGAAGAGCAAAACGCTGCTCTTCTCCCGACTGGTTTCGGCAAGAGTAGCCTGGCTTGTGGTCATATGCTTAGTTGATCTGATTGGTTTATTTGGCCCGTCTATCACCAACATAGGCCAATCAGCTAACCAGTATTTTCGCCCCTTCCCAAAATTTTTCAGTTTCCAGATGGATATGCCGAGTAAATCCATCTGGCATACAACCCCCCAAACCACAGAATATCCAAATAAGGTAACAGAAATTCATAGGCCATGTTGCATCTAACATAGAGTACACAATTAACATTTTCTACATCTCTCTCTAACACTCTCACTAAACATCATACGTAATAAATCATATATCTTGATTAATATAGCATCCGCAGACTGCAAAATGCCAATATTTAATCTGATCTAGAGTAAATAGGTGTTTAATAGGTCCCCTGACACGGAAACTAGCATCTGATTCAGAGGCTCTATCTGCTAGAACTCATATGAGAAGTTTTGCTTGCAGGACAATAGACGGTAGGTGTTTATATTTCAACGCTAAAGTATCAGTTAAGACAGCTTTTAGAGAGATTAACATTCACCCCCTATCACTTTATGTAAAGTAAAGATAAAACTCAAGATAAAGGTTCAAATGACTTAATTTTATTGTTAGTCTATACAAGATTAGCTAAAATGTTAATGCCTTGAAGAGTTTTTGGCTGGAGTTTGAAATATCAGCAGCATCAGAGTTAGCACTGCTGACCTTTGCAACATGTCTTCCTTGGCTCTCTTGCTTTCAGCTCACTGTCAAATGAAGGCCAAGCCTGCTAAAAGCAATCTTAAAATAAAAACTTCATGGAGATCTGAGGTATTGGTCGCAATGTGGTCACATCTCCAAGGACAGTTGTTGGCAGACAGGTCCTGCTGATGATAACACGGGGTTAAATGAATATTAGCAAAAATGTGTATAAACTTGAAAATAAAAACCTATAAATATATTTTTAATCCGTATCTATTCCACGATTATTTATGAAGGTTGAACTACATGTGAGTCTTTACTAAGCTTTTCATTAAATGTTCTTTTTTGTGCCTTTTACACGATAGAAAACTCTATCCCTGCCTTACCTTAACTGAACAATCATTTATTTAAAATAAACCTTTTTAACGTCTCTCTTACCTGATTTTATTACAGATATATTTGACTAAATTATCAGATTTTTTTCTAAAACATGATAGAAAAACAGAACTTTTATTGACATAAAAAATTGTGAAAGCCATTATATTTTGCCCCCATTTAAATAAATGGTCAGAAAATTAAATTAGTTGACCATGTCTTTATTGCCGAAAAGGAAACAGTTATTTTGTTAATAGAGCAGCTTTATTTCAAGTACCTGGTTTTCCCAGGCTAGCTAGATTAAATAGAGCAAAGTTACTTAATAATACTGCAGGTCAACCATAATCATGCCTACAATACCAGAATGGTTATGTAAGGTTTCTGAATAGAACTGCAATATATCAGAATCATCATCAGAAATCCGTTATTTTCATTGTACAGAGCACAATAAAATTTGTTCCACTACAGCCCATTCAAGAGACACAATACAAAAGCATACATAGCCAGGTGCCTGAGGTTGCAGCTATTAAAAGGTGCTGCCCTTAGGTTAAGGATAAGGATTGCAAATATAGAGGGTAGATGACGATAAAAACTGTATCTCTCACCATGTCCTTGCAGGGGACGATTTGAGATTTAAAAAGAAAACCTGCATGGGAATATTGGAATGGGGAAGGAAGGGAGAGAAGGAGTAGGGAATAAGGGAGGAGGTATGAAATGGGAATAGGTAGGGAGATGGGAGGAAGAACCCATCAGGATCAAAAAAACTAAAATACTTGTGGAAAACAATTCCATTGGTCAGGTTTGTAATATTGCAAAGCTGAAGGTTATACATCTTCGAGGAAACTAGGAGTTTGCATGCCAGCAAGCATGGCCATAGCCTCGTGAGACAATCCTGATTTCAAGATTTCACTTGCTAATCTGGAGACTCTCCGTTGAAGAAAATTTGGAGCCGTTCACCAAACGAACGTCCAATCAGCGTTGGCTTTGAGGCGGGTTGAGGTGTGACGCAACAAGAAGCGCGACAGTTCAGTCTAAAGAACATGGCGGCTTCAGCCGATGAAACTAGCGTTAGCGTGGCTATCAAGCAAGTTTTATCGGAATTACACTGTATTTCTTCACTGAAAGAAGAACAAAACACTGCTCTGGAGGCTTTTCTCAGATGAAAATATGTTTTTGCTCTTCTCCCGACTGGTTTCGGCAAGAGTTTGATCTATCAATTGGCTCCTCTTCGTCGTCGCTCTGTTACGTCATATGCTTCGTTGATCTGATTGGTTTATTTGGCCCATCTATCACCAACATATTCCAATCAGCTTACCAGTATTTTCGCCCCTTCCCAAAATTACTTCAACTGAAGGTTTCCAAATGGATATGCGGAGCAAATCCATCTGGCGGAGTCAGGTTAACATGGTCAAGCTTCCTGCACACATGGCTCAAATATGAACTATTCTGTTTGCCGAAGCATCATACAGCCAAACACGAGTCCAAGTTTGGCCTCGCGTTTGATAACCCTGGACTTGAACAATTGTTTGATACCTTTCAGTCCAGGATTATCAAACGTGATACAATCACGTTTGATAACCCTGGACTTGAACAATCCCATGGTGGGCACTGACCATGTCTGACTTTGAGAAGTCAAAGTTCAGGCTACAGTTTTGAAAGTCTTACTGACTTGTGTAGACACAAAAGTCCTCAATCTTTATTAAAGTAAAGCAACTTTGTTAAAAAAAAAAAAGATTCTAGCAGCAGCTTTTGCATCTAAAAACCTCCCTAATGCAGTCTTCCTACCACGGAGGACAAGCAAACAACAGCTCCGGGCAATATTTAGATGTACTCCTTCGCCTCAAACACAAAGGACATGGCTTTAGATAGCAGAATGTTCAGAATTGGATGTAGGACAGACTGTTTGAAAGGAGATAAAGGAAGCCATCTTTGTTAAAAAAGAATCAATGAACACAGGGAAAGAAATGCAGTTTCAGCTTCCAAACATTTACAATTCTGTTTAAAGCTCACTCCATAGACCTCATACAACTCCACATTTCATTAATTAAATGGCCAAACACAAAACCCATACAAAAACCCAGCCACAGACGACCACGGCGAATGATGGCTGGGTCTTTGATTTGCATCTGAATTGGAATGTGCTTAGGGGGATGATGTTTAAAAGCACAAATACTCCAACTACCTATTGCTCTGGTGCAAGCTGCCAGAATTGACAGTTGACTCAGTGATAGGTAATGAAACATTTTCAGAAAAACTGAGGGACATTCTGGTTGCCTCTGATTGATGCCTCTTTGTGGTTTTTATTCCTCAGACTTATGTCAGAGACATCTATCCCTTCCGGAGGTCAGTTTCTCCTCAACTTAACCTAGTCCACATGCTGCCCGAGAAAGGACAAGAACTTATCCAGAAACAGGTAACAGTTTACGTCTGAAAATTCTTCACTGAACAAATTTTCATCCTGAAAGGATAAAAGCATCCTCAATGCACCTACTCAGGTGTTCACCCGTAAAATGGAGGAGGTTGGTCGGGTCCTCTTCCTGATATCTCTTACCCAACACATGCCAGCGGTACACAAGCAGTCCCACGTCTCCCTGCTGCAAGAAGACCTGCTGAGACTTCCGTCCTTCCCCCGAACTGCTATTGATGCAGAGTTCTCCCTCTTCAACGAGCCACAAGGTAAAATACTGGTTCTGTCATTGTGCAAGTGAACACCAGACATAAATACGGTAACCTCACCACTATTTCCTTGTCCCCAACAGGTAAGGAGCTGTTTGGTCTGGACACTCTCCACAAAGTGCTTTGGATTAAGCTCCTGGAGGAGATGTTTCTCGGCATGCCCAGCGAGTACCCCTGGGGGGACGAGATGATGCTGTTCCTCAACGTCTTCAACGGAGCATTGCTGCTTCACCCGGAGGACAGCTCCCTCCTTAGGCAGTACACGGCCACCGCCATAAACACAGCCGTCCACTTTAACCACCTCTTCTCACTGAGCGGATACCAGTGGATCCTTCCTACTATGCTTCAGGTACAATAAATCCAGATCTGTGGATAATATTCTTGATTTGAAGAAGTGAATGAAGCTGTGTCTAGTTGGTGGACAGTAATTCCCCAACTCTGATCATTTGCAGAGTCTGGGATTTATGCAACCTTAAAGGGATAGTTCGGTATTTTTGACATGAATCTGTATGGCATCCCCATCACCAGTGTCATGCAATCACACTGACTTACCCCTGGCAGCGTCCTGTGAGCAGAGTTCTCGTCCAGTTTTGGTCAAGCCGAAAGTAGTCCGGCAGGTTTGCTAGACCCAGCGAAATAAAACGTTTCTCTTCCCAAAACATTATGTGTTCAAAAGAGTGATATTTTTGCATCCCAAAAACGTTGTAGTGGAAAAAGTCACACGTCATTATCACTTGATCCTATTTTCTCTCTGTTCGTATCAGTGTGCACCGTCATTCTGACAGCGAGCTCAACAACAGCCAGATGCATGTCTCCCTCCGCCTAGCTCCTAGCTGGGCGGAGGGAGACATGCATCTGGCTGTTGTCAGGTTAGTAGGCCCTAGCTGTCTGAATGACGGCGCGCACTGATACGAACAGAGAGAAAATAGGACCAAGTGATAACGACGTGTGACTTTTTCCACTACAACATTTTTGGGATGCAAAAATATCACTCTTTTGAACACATAATGTTTTGGGAAGAGAAACGTTTTATTTCGCTGGCTCTAGCAAACCTGCCGGACTACTTTTGGCTTGACCAAAACTGGACGAGAACTCTGCTCACAGGACGCTGCCAGGGGTAAGTCAGTGTGATTGCATGACACTGGTGATGGGGATGCCATACAGATTCATGTCAAAAATACCGAACTATCCCTTTAAGACAGATTCAGAAGCCTAAACTAAATAAAGAGCTTAACACTGGTATGCATTTACCCTGCTTTTCTGATCCAGGGAAGGTGGCCCTGTTGGCTTTCACCTTGCAAAAAGAGAAAACTGGACCAAACAATCGCAGGATGTTGTAGTAGATTGTTCGGGCGGTAGTGTTGCTCCTGAACTGCCCTAATCCGAGACAAAAGTTAGTCTCTTTGGGTTTCTATTGCTGCTTTGGTGTTCCAATGTAGATTTTATTGTACATCTCTACTTCTTTGCATTAGCCAGCAGTAAGTTGGACCTTTTTCCGGTGAGAGTTGGACTCCACCAAGGTTTGTCCTTGTCACTAATTCTATTCGTATTTATGGACAGAATATTTAGGCACAAGGTATTGAGGGGATCCATTCTGGTGGCTTTAGAAATGGTGACATGCTCCTGTTGACTTCTCCAGGCCTTGATCTACAACGCCACCCATTTAGAACAGTTCACAGCTGAGTGTAAGGCAGCCCTTATGAGGATTAGTGCCTCCAAATCTGAGGCCATGGTCTTGACCCGGAAAAGGGTAGAGTTCCCTCTCTGGGTTGGGGACGCTATCCTGCCCCTGGGTGGAGGAGTTTAAGTATCTAGTGTCTATGGGATGGAAAGTGAAGTGGGAGATTGATAGGCAGATTGGTGCGTCTGCTGTGAAGGGGGTGCTATATCTGTGTGTCGGTTTATCGACTGATCTTTGTTCCAACCCTTTTCTACAGTCATAAGTTTTAGGTCATGACTCAAAGAATGAGATTGCGGATAGTGGTTAAAAATAGTTTTCACCACAAGGTGTCTGGACCTTAGAGATTGGATGAGAAGCTCGATGATCTCAAGATCAAATAAGAGTAGAGCAGCTGCTTCTCAAGAGGAGCTACTGTTGGCTCTGGCATCTGGTTAGGATGCCTCCTGGACGACTCCCTGGTGAGTTTTTCCGGGCACCTACCACAGGAAGAGGACCCGAACCAGGAGGGTCTATTCATGGCTAGCCAGGGAACGACTTGGGATTCTTCAGGAGGAACTGGCCCAGGTGGTTAGGGATATGGAAGTGCTTTCCTTGGACATTGAACAACCATAACTACTGTGAGACGGTTCAGGTCAAAGGTTATTTGTGTATTAGCATTGCCCACACTTTGCCCTAATGCAAAGTAAGGTGAACTTCCATCCTTTTTGCTTCCTTTGTAAAAGCGTAATTGCAGAAGTTCAGTACAGTTAGGATGCTTTAGAGCATGCAGAACCAAATATATGGTTTAGAAATAAATGGTTTGTTGTCTTTGTGGTGTTGTTACAGGTCTATGCCGACTATGAGAGCAACCCTTTGCTGCGACAGGGCATTGAGTTTTGCTGCCGGCAGTTCTACATCCTTCACCGAAAGCCCTTCATCCTCCAGCTGTTTGCAAGTGTTGCTCCACTGCTGGAATTCACTGTGAGGCTTTCACTGAACAGCCAGAAGAACTTATCAGAAAATTGCAACCTGTGATATATTCTAGCTCTGATGTTCTGATTGATCTCTCAGACCAGCACCAGCACTGGTTTATCAAAAGGAGTGTCGGCCCAGTGTCTCTTTGACCTGCTGGTGTCGTTAGAGGGGGAGACCCAGGATGCCCTGGATGCCCTAGAGCTGGTTAAGGCAGAGAAACCTCTCCGTTCTCTTGGTAAACTCACACTTTTGACACATAGAACAGTAAGATGGAACATTGAACACCTTTAACCTCTCAAAACCCCGTTTTAAAGCGTTTACAAATAATAACTCAGAATGCATGAAAATTACACAGTTAAAATCTTTACCAATATAGACATGTTAGGCATCGTTGGGAAGCTTAGATTCTCCACAATTCAACCACCTAGTTCATTTTATGGACATAGTGAGCACCAAAGCACAATTAACACAGATATAGCAGCATGTCAAAATGTACCATGACAAAGCAGCCACAACAGGCAAGCATGTCTTTATAACTGCTGTTCGAGAATAAAAAAAAACAACTCTGATGCAGCTTGGGTGTTTTACTCACCCACTTTTCATGTTTATATTCAGAAACTAGAGGGTTTTAGCTTTCAAATAATGTATCACACATGTAATTTGGGCTCACAGTTCCTAAGTTATTTGCTTTTCCATTCGGATATGCAAAATAGGCGAGAATTTCCCAAAATGAGGTGGATATTAAGAGGTTAACGGCAATATTACACAAAAACAAAGGGGGTCTTTTGGGGAGTTTTGTTATTTAGTGTCAGCTGTAGAAAAGCTACATAATTTAATACGAAAAACAACAAACAAACAATCATATGGTCTTTATGCCTCATTATTATTCAATTCAAAACCACCCGATCAAATTAATCCCGTAATGTCCAAATGCTGAAAAGAACAACGGCCTCTCAAAAATAGCGTTCCCCCCCAAACAAAATACAAAAAATAGGGCGTCCACAGCTAAATAACTCTGGTAGCTGCGCGTATTCGGTCAGTTTCCCGCACAAAAATAAGAAAAAGTTCAAAAATCAAAACCGTTGGGGTCCAAATTAAAATCTGCCGCAGCAGTCCAATTAATAAGGCATAAGTCTCATTCCGCTCATCTGTCATCACCAGCCACATATCCTTTAGGAGTCCGCCCGATCTCTCCTGTCAACCAAAACTTAAACTTCTTTGCTGAGAATCACCGGTGAAGAGATGATCTATCCATTTTCGCCGCTTCACGCTAATTGGAGGAGCGCAGTTCACCACCTGGCCTGACGCGCGCTGCCAGCATTACCTATACACCACACCCCGTCAACAATCTACACATAAATCATGTCCCCTCCCCCCCAGTTTCCATAAACCAGATGTTTCTCATAGTGGATAATTATATAAATTACTATACATAAACAAGGCATCCTTGTTTTAATAAATATCACTGTAGAGTGATAATTTATCCTTCATAAAAAAAAATGTTAGTGTCAACTCACCCTGATACGTTACACATTTCATCATCAATTTAATGCTTTATTAGACTACATTTTTTTGCTATCCATTTTACATTGGAGATCAGATGTGTTTCACATATTTTATTTATCTTGATTCGTTCATGAACCTAATAGTTTCCTGTTTTGTTATGTTTTATAAATATGTGTAGTTTAATTTTTTTGTAAGAAAATATTTTTTGTTTATTCAGTCAGTGTTTAATGCGGCCGGTATAAAAATGGATAACATATTATAACAAGTATAAATTCTGAAAGGTTCAGCCTTAACAAATTAGAAGTCTTTACATAAAAACCCTGGCCAGCCGTTCCCAGGATGCTTTCATCAGTGATGTCAGACAGACTTGTTTTTTTCCTTCACAGATTTTTGCTACGGTAATGAAGACTTAGCCTTTTCCATCAGTGAGGCCATCAAGTTATGTGTAACTGTTGTCGCCTATGCGCCAGAATCCTTCAGGAGGTAAAGCAGAACTCCCTTTGTTTTCCTTAACTTTTTTTGCTACAACAAACAGGTCCTGATTCAGGTCTTTCATTAGTCTTCAGATGCTTATGGTGCTGGAAGCTTTGGTTCCCTGCTTCCTTCAGAAGCTTAAGAGCAACACTGCAACAATGGAGTCCGCCTCTGCCGCCAGGGACGAGATAGCAGCGATTGCTTCAATGGCCACATCCCTACAGGCTTTGCTCTACAGCTCTGAGGCTCTCACCAGGTCTGGTTTCCAGCTGTTAAAAGTCCCAGTTGGAATTTTGCCGTGGCTTTAAATGCTTAATTTTCCATCTACAGGCCAATGACCGCCCCACAGATGTCCCGCTGCGACCAAGGCCACAAGGGAGGCACAACAGCCAACCACGCTATGTCCGGAGGCGTCAACACTAGGTGGGATGGTATTTTGTATTGCTACAAATAAAATCTTAACAGGCAGAGAAAAAAAAGAACAAACTATAATGAAGCTTTTTGTTCACAGGGACAATCTCCACCTTCTGGAGGAGGGTCAGGGCATGCCGAGGGAGGAGCTGGACGAGCGTCTCGCCAGGGAGGAGTTCCGCCGGCCACGAGAGTCCCTGTTAAACATTTGCACAGAGTTTTATAAACACTGTGGCCCTCGACTCAAGATCCTGCAGAACATTGCTGGAGAGCCACGGGTCACTGCGCTGGAGCTACTGGACATCAAATCCCACATGAGGTATGTAGCTGAACTGCCTAGTAACTGTAGGATGGATGGATGGATGGATGGATGGATGGATGGATGGATGGATGGATGGATGGATGGATGGATGGATGGATGGATGGATGGATGGATGGATGGATGGACGGACGGATGGATGGATGGATGGATGGATGATGGACTGATTGATGGATGGATGGATGATGGACTGATGGATGGATGGATGGATGGATGGATGGATGGATGGATGGATGGAAATCTTCATTAACCAAATGGAAAAAAAACTCAGTCTCCTCATGAATCCAAATCTGGGGCGACAGTGGCGTTGGATGGAGGAGTTTGCCCTGTAATCGAAGGGTTGACGGTTCAAGCCCCGACTCCGACTTTCATTGTCGTTGTGTCCTTGGGCAAGACACTTCACCTGCATTGTCTACTGATGGTGGTCAGAGGGCCCGGTGGCGCCAGTGTACGGCAGCCTCGCTTCTGTCAGTGAGCCCCAGGGCAGCTATGGCTACAATGTAGCTTGCCACCATCAGTGTGTGAGTGTGTGTGTGAATGGGTGAATGAATGTAGTGTAAAGCGCTTTGGTCAAGTCTCCTAACTTGAATAAAGGCGCTATATAAGTACATCCCATTTACCATTTACCATTTACCAAATCTGCCTCCAACTAATTCCAATCCTTTTCATCTTTTTAAAAATCAGTAAGGTTGTGACTCGTCTCAACGCACCAGTCATTTGACTCGTGTGATGTAAAACAAAACTGTTTCCATTGCCATTTTGCAAATATAATAATTTGGAAGCAACCAAAGCATAAAAACCTGTGATTGAAAAATTTGTTGTTGTTTTTTTTTTATTGCAGTGTTTACACTTAGCAAATGTATTTTCCTAAATTATAATTTTCTGCAACTTGATGATTAATGAAAATGCAGCCAGCGCATGTATCCTTAACTTTTATTTGGTTAGACCAGAAATAACCAGCACTTAACAAAGTGTGAAGATCAGGTTCATTCCCTGCATTAATAAGGATGTCATCTGCATACCGTAATATGTTTATATATGTTGGAGATCGGCCTGTTTTCCAGTGTAGTCCTGTTTCTCTGACTGTGACTGGCTGGATGTGCTCTCTTCATCCTCTGGCATGGGAGTTGGCTCGGAGCTCGTCTTTCTGGCTGTGTGTTTCCTGGACGGGGCCGCCTTTTACAGCTGTTTTTTGTATCTCTGCTTCTGTCTCCTTGAACCCCAGTCGGCCTCTGCAGATGGCCGCTCACACTGAGCCTGGTTCTGCTAGAGGTTTCTTCCTGTTAAAAGGGAGTTTTTCCTCTCCACTGTCGCTACAAGCATGCCTAGTGTGAGGGATTGCCTTCTAGTCAATGAGTCGATGCAATCAACTGGTTTTCCTTAGATAGAAAATTTTGAATCAATTAGACTGTATGATCTAGTGAACTGTAAAGTGCCTTGAGATGACGTGATGTGAATTGGCGCTATAGAAATAAACAGAATTTAATTTCATTAATATACAGACTATTATATCCCTTACTTTCGATTTGAATCTGAATAACTGCTACTAGCTACTAGACTCTTGCTTGTTTCCTGGCATTTACTATTGTAGTTAAAGAATATATATGATCAATGCCGGCTGTCTTCTATCGAAACCAAACTTTTAACTTTAAATTTCAACAAAATTCTTGTGAAACTATTTTTCGATTGTCGTTTTTTTTGCCCTCCACCCCAGACTGGCTGAAATCGCCCACGCTCTCCTTAAGCTGGCACCCTACGACACCCTGACCATGGAGAGCAGGGGCCTGCGTCGCTACATCATGGAGATGCTGCCCATCACCGACTGGTCGTCAGAGGCCGTGCGCCCCGCCCTCATCCTCATCCTCAAGAGGCTGGACCGCATGTTCAACAAGATCCACAAGATGCCCACGCTCAGGTGCGCTCGCCCACAGGCACTGTGCACCAGGTCTGTTGAACCTATGTTCTCCTTTCTCTGTCATTCGCCGTAATCGTTCTGTGACGGTGGTGCCGTGGCGTGTGCAGTAGATAGACGGCTTCTTGGCGCTGTCGTCCCTCCAGGTGTCTTTGTGGATTGCTGTACCGTAAGTGGCTGCTTCTGGTGTGTGTCTGCGCAGGCTGAGTGTCCGGTGCTCTGGTGTGTTTTGTACGGATTCACAGTGAACTGGTCGCAGTGTTCCTTCTTAGCAGTGGGATGTTCACCTTGTGACAATAAGTGATTGTAATATTCAAAAATCTGTAGTTTTCCTGGACTCAAGAAAGAAAATTGGTTTTATTAAATGTTTCGTTAAAAAGTCTTAATAAGCATTAAATTAATAAATCTAAATATAAGGCCTTAATTGGTATGGAAAGGCATTACATCGACCTTTCTGAGGTCTTCAAAATGTTAACACCACATAAATAGGAATATGCTATTTTAATTAGGGCTGTAATTTATTGAATAATGAAATAATCTAAAGTCGTTCGATCGATCAACTAATGATTATTTGATAAAAAGCTGATTTTCTCTTGTATCAAAAGGATCTTTCTATAACATGAAGAACTACATATATATATTTTGTAATATATTCTGAGTAAAAAAAAAGAAATGCAATATATTTTAACTATTCATTCTACCAGCTGTATTAAATACTGACAGAATAAATGAATTTTTTTTTCACATTGTTTAACTTATTTAAAAGATAACCAAATATATTTAGAAGGTGTAGAAAAACAGGAACGTAATAGTTTACTGAAAAATAAAAGATCAAATGAACATATGAAACACGATTTTCCAGTGCTAAAACGTAAAACTATGATTTAAAGACGGTTTATGACGTCCATATATGTTGTCAGATTATTTGCCACTCTGTTTCAGTGCAGTTGCTGTGAAATAGCTCTCTGTGCTTTATCCAACAATTCAAACAATCATAGTACGACTAAAGCTACGTTCACACTGCAGGCCTCGATGCTCAATTCCAATTGTTGTTTTAAAATCGGATTTATTTGTGTTGCTGTTCACATTTCCAAATATATCTGTATGTGATCTCCTGTGTCAACTGGAGTCATACAACGCAAGTGTCCTGCATGCGCATTAGAGGACGCAATGACGTCACAAGACACACTCTGTGTTTATGGAAGTATACCTGGATGGTAGTGCTTGAGAACATCTAGAGATCTTTCCCAACCTTAAACACTAAATCTTTTCAAGATGGTTAAAGAAAAAGACTTCTCTCCGCATTTTAGTGTTCCATAGTTGTTGTTTTTCTTCTTGCTTCTGCGAAACAAGACTCAGAATAATGATCTTTGTCTGGTATTACCTGGCGTTCAGGTCAGGTTATTGCGACCTGGCCGTTCAGACACAGGTCGCATTTGAAAAGATCGGATTCGTATTGGATTCAGGACCACATAGCCAAATTGCCTGGGTCGCATTGGAAAAAATTGGATCTGTGTTGTTCAAACAGCCATGACAAGATAAGATACAGGTCGCATAGGGGCAAAAAAAAAAATCGGATTTGGGTCACTTCAGGCTGCAGTGTGAACATAGCCTAAGTGGGCACTATTTAGGTGCTCAATTAAGGAGTTTAATAAGTGTTTATATTTACAGAACAGAACCAAATAAAGTGCATTTTGCACTGATTGCAATTAGGTAATAATAGGCTTCAAATGGATGGGGAATTCAAGTTCACGAGAGCCAGTATCCTGCAACTTTTAGATGCGCCTTTGGTTCAAAACACCTGAATCAAGTAGTCAGATTAAGAGGACTCTGGAGGAACTGACTGCATCCTGAGGAGGTAACTCAGCCGTTTGATTCAGGTGTGTTGGACCAAGGGTAAATCAACAGCCCAATCCCAAACCGGCCTTTAAATACTAACCTTGAGCACTAACCCTCCGTTTGCGGGTTCCCACGGAGGGTCCGTCACATTAAGTACCGTCCCAAACCGCGTAGTGGGTAGGGCTAGTGGAACATTAACCCTTAAAAAGCGAGTCTGCATCAGTTTCAGGCTTCCGGGAATAGGGCTTGGGATCCACGTTGCATTGTGGGACGTGGCGGCCATGTTGACGGCTACGCGAACCTTAACATAGCTTTGATACAATGTTGTTGAACGAAGAGAGGTAGAAGTAGAGAGAAAAAAGATGTTAAAATCCTGAAAAGGAACTGGAATTTACCGGGACACATTCAATAGAGAAGCCAGGGACCAGTATGTTGTAATGTTAACTGCCAATCCTCCCTAAACCCTCTGGGTTTCTCACGTATTTGAGCCTTTTCCCGCTGCCGTTTTTATTATTTTCCCGTTAAAAGATCCCAACCTTTGCGTGATGTCCTTTTTTAAGATAACAGCGTGGTTGTTGTGAGAGCATAATTTCACGCCAATAGGTTTACCATGGTAGAAATCACGTTAAGGTGAAATGAATCAAATTAAAACACGGCTGAGAGGGAGCACAGTACGCGGTAGTCGTAGGCAGTAGTCTGAGTAGCGGTAAAGAAGTCCATCAACATGGCGGCCACGCAAAGTAATTACGTCACGACGCCCACGCCCTATTTGGGAAACCCTAATGGCGAAAGAAACACGTTCCGCCAAATGTAAATTCTGCTGGTTTGCTACATCTTCATCACACTGACAGAAAATTACAAGTTAGCATATTAAAAAGGCATGATTAATTCCAAAATGGAAGGCCCTCTTTGAAATGGTTTTATTCTAAATTCAATCTCTTTTTTACCTGTTTTTATGCTACCACCCTCTGCCAGCCGTAGTGAACTGCATGTTATTTAAACAGCAGTGTTTATATTAATTTAAACGCAGCTTTGACGCGTATCTTTTTTTTTCATAATTAGCGCTGTAGGCTACTCATTGCGGCTCCAGTCTCCGCTTTGTCAATGGTGACCGACTATTTCCTGGCCAACAAAATGTTTTGGTCTCCAAACATACATCTCTGTCTTTTGCTGCATATAATCACCACGGCAACAGGATATAGATGTTTTCATTTGCTAACAGCCGTTAGCCTTCATGTAGTTCGATTCTACAACACTAGTGTCACTTTCTAGTCTTTCCCATTAATCTAGAAATATATCCCCCACAAAGCACCAGCGAATAGACAGTGACAACAAGTGGAGGGGAGGATGTTCAATAGTATGCAACCAACAGAAAAGCATAGTGATGGCAGCATTATGCTGTCAATGACGCAAGACTGGTTGCAGAATTCTTCATGTTTATGTGAAATTTCACTGATATTTGAAATTATTTAAAAGATGAAAACTGTACTTTGAATAAAGATCGATATAAAACAAAGATACAAGGAGGTTGACTTAAAAAAAGTGGTTAAAAATGCTCCATGTATTATATTTCTGGCCTCTTGTGGTTTGTTAAGGCTCTGCTTACTGAAGAAACCTTGAAGAAAAAAGAAAAGAAAAGAGCTTATATGATAAAGGAGGAGCTCAGAGGGAACACAGATCTGAGACGTTCGGAGCTGTTGCTGTTTTTGTAGTTTAATTTTGATGTCGTTGTCCACACATGTTGTTTTGAACTAAATTAAAAAGAATATGTGGAGAGTTATGCAGCGGTAAGTGATCAAATAAGAGATTTTTATTGTAAATTTCAAAATTAAACATTGTGTGACTTTAATGGTTCTTTTTTTTCTTTCTTTTTTTTGTTATTCGGTTAAACCGCCTGGTTTTCCAGGAGACAAGTGGAATGGGAGGCGGCCAGCAATCTGATCGAGGGAATCTGTCTGACGCTGCAGCGCCAGCCAATCATCTCCTTCCTCCCACACCTTCGCTCTCTGATTAACGTCTGTGTCAACCTGGTATGCAAATAAAACAAGTAAACTGTTCTGGAGGATTTCTTTGTCCTTAATTTGCTAAAACTGTAAAATAATCTCAACAAAACAAAGAATGGGTTACAAAAGTAATAAAAAATAATAATAAAAGTAACATATTATAACATTGTATTTTTCTAGGGAAATAATATAGGATTTAATATAATCATGAATTGGTTTAAAGATAAGAAGAATATGTGTTACTTCTATCAATTTGTGTTACTTCTATCAATTTGATCCTATGGTAGCCGAAATGTACCAAAACTTATCATTTTCCATCTAATCCTCACTCTGGTGAATCTCTGCCACTTAACTTAGTCTAAAATTAGAAATTCAGATTGTTGGTTTACACGCAGATTCTTCACCCTGATCCTGATGAAGCGGAAATTAAGCAATAGTGGGTAATTGGGTTGAGTTTAATTGCAATATTAACATTAGTGCAACATTAATATGACAGATAAAAAAAAGGGGGGAGGGGGGGGACTATTTGTGCTTGTTTGCTAATTGGCTAACAGTTAATAAGAGTGTAAGTTTCTTTTCTGTTTGATTATTTATGTCTTTTTTGTCATATTTTCTCTGAATTTAATTCTTGAATTCACAAGGATCCAAGAATACACCCTTGAGGTGTGCCACAATGTATTGTGTCTTGTATTGTTTATTTATCAATATACTCATCTTGAAGAAAAAACGTTAAAGGTTTTTTTTATGCTTTTCTTCTTTAATGTACAATTTAATGTGTGTTATGAATTATAATTTATAAATGAGGTGTTATTTGTTGTAATTATAGAAATATTCATGAGGCAAAAAAGCAATAAAAATGTACAATGAAGGACATTAGTAAATTCACCTCTTTAAAAGAGTATTTCTATTTCCTTTAATTCCATTTCATTAATTTATTCACTCTTTTTTGAAAATGCAAAAACTTTAAGTGACTTTTTTTTAGATTTCTAAGGAATTAATTTTGTTTTTTATCTTTATAAGCAAAAACACATTTTTTTAAACTGAAATAAAAAGTGCAGTTAAGAAGTGATCAATTTAACTTATGTAAAGGTTTTGCTTTTTTTCATTTTCAAATAAATTTTTCTTTATATTTTTAATGCTATTTTTTCCAATCTATATCTTTATTTATATTGTTTTTACATATTTTGTTTTTTTTATGTTAATTTTTCAGATTTAGTCTTATATATGAAATACTTGTGTAGATTGAAATCATTTCATTTTAAGCCAAATGCTCCATGCACATGAAATCTGTAAAAAGAAAAAAAAAATCCTGAGAACATCAATATGCAAAAAATTTAAAAAGAAATAAGAGAGTTACTCTTGAAACCTTTTTTCGAGAGTAACTTTTAATTTTTTTTTTTTCCATTTGCAAAACATGTTTTTATGCTTTAAACAATAATGGAGCAAAATTTACACCATAATTGTTTTTGTTTCTTTCAAGCTCTTCAGATGTGATACTTCAAGATGCTCATAGAAAACCTTGATGTAATCACATCTTATGTGATACTGGTTACCTTTCGTCACCAGGTGATGGGTGTGGTTGGTCCCTCCAGTGTAGCAGATGGACTCCCCCTCCTCCACCTCAGCCCATACCTCTCTCCTCCCCTTCCTTTCAGCACAGCCGTTGTCCGGCTCGTCGCTCTTCAGATTCAGGTACGACAGGCTTATTAGAAATCAAGCTTAGCCTTCAGAAATGTTTTAATTACTAGATTCCTTTTCGCTGCCTCTCAGGCCTTAAAGGACGACTTCCCTCTCAGTCATGTGATCTCGCCATTCACCAATCAGGAGAGGCGAGAGGGGATGCTGCTTAATCTGCTCATTCCTTTTGTTCTGACTGTGGGCTCTGGAAGTAAAGGTAAGAATAACGCGCCTCTCTCAATCAAACAAGTCTTTTTTTTTTCTCTCTAGTTTCAGGGTGAAACCACATATTTTTTTTTTTTTTTTTTTGCATAATCTGCTCTTGAAATTTGTTCTCTGTGTATTCTCTCCGCCTTTAAAGGTGCAAAAAACTCACTTCAGAACCAACAATACAGCCAAAGTGCTTCAGGGTTGCTCCCCGAACCCAACGCACCACACACCCAACCGGCTCGCCTCAAAGATTTTCCCATAAAGTAAACCACAAAAATATAATTTATTTAAGAACGAGGAATAGAAATATCCATATTTCCATGCAAAATAAAACCAAAATATATTTAAAAAAATCCTTTTTCAATATTTCTATGTGGTGTCTATCCAAATAAACATCTCCTCACTGACATATTTTATCTTAAATACATGTAAAAACAACAAAACCCATTAACATCAAGTTATTTCTGCTAAATAAAAAAAAAATACCAGTCTAGTTTGACCTAAATAAAAGAAACAAAAGAAAAATACATGCATTATTGATAAAATAGAACTTTTTAAATACCTCCCTCAGTTACCTTCAACACTGTACAATATTATGGTCAATTACCACCTTTTATTCGGACATATTACTATTAATTTTCAAATACTTTATGCTTAAATGTTCTTGAGGCCCTTTGGTAATTTGTCAGCCTTTAGGTTGCCACTATGGCATTAGTTAATGATATAGGGTGACACTACTTTTATTTTGAAAGAGTAAAAATACTTCATTCCTTCTGGGTTATTTTTGTTTTAACTAAATATTAATTTGACCATTCTGTTATGGAGTGATTCTTGTCAACATGTTGTCTGTGACCTCTTTAATTAATACCTCAATCTCATTGTACCATATACACTATATTGCCAAAAGTATTTGCTCACCTGCCTTGACTCACATATGAGCTTAAGTGACATCCCGTTCCTAATCCATAGGGTTCAATATGACGTCGGTCCACCCTTTGCAGCTAGAACAGCTTCAACTCTTCTGGGAAGGCTGTCCACAAGGTTTAGGAGTGTGTTTATGGGAATTTTTGACCATTCTTCCAGAAGCGCATTTGTGAGGTCGCACACTGATGTTGGACGAGAAGGCCTGGCTCTCAGTCTCCGCTCTAATTCATCCCAAAGGTGTTCTATCGGGTTGAGGTCAGGACTCTGTGCAGGCCAGTCAAGTTCATCCACACCAGACTCTGTCATCCATGTCTTTATGGACCTTGCTTTGTGCACTGGTGCACAGTCATGTTGGAAGAGGAAGGGGCCAGCTCCAAACTGTTCCCACAAAGTTGGGAGCATGGAATTGTCCAAAATGTCTTGGTATGCTGAAGCATTCAGAGTTCCTTTCACTGGAACTAAGGGGCCAAGCCCAGCTCCTGAAAAACAACCCCACACCATAATCCCCCCTCCACCAAACTTTACACTTGGCACAATGCAGTCAGACAAGTACCGTTCTCCTGGCAACCGCCAAACCCAGACCCGTCCATCAGATTGCCAGATGGAGAAGCGCGATTCGTCACTCCAGAGAACGCGTCTCCACTGCTCTAGAGTCCAGTGGCGGCGTGCTTTACACCACCGCATCCGACGCTTTGCATTGCACTTGGTGATGTATGGCTTGGATGCAGCTGCTCGACCATGGAAACCCATTCCATGAAGCTCTCTGCGCACTGTTCTTGAGCTAATCTGAAGGCCACATGAAGTTTGGAGGTCTGTAGTGATTGACTCTGCAGAAAGTTGGCGACCTCTTCGCACTATGCGCGTCAGCATCCGCTGACCCCGCTCCGTCAGTTTACGTGGCCTACCACTTCGTGGCTGAGTTGCTGTCGTTCCCAAACACTTCCATTTTCTTATAATACAGCTGACAGTTGACTGTGGAATATTTAGGAGCGAGGAAATTTCACGACTGGATTTGTTGCACAGGTGGCATCCTATCACAGTTCCACGCTGGAATTCACTGAGCTCCTGAGAGCGACCCATTCTTTCACAAATGTTTGTAAAAACAGTCTGCATGCCTAGGTGCTTGAATTTATACACCTGTGGCCATGGAAGTGATTGGAACACCTGATTCCAATAATTTGGATGGGTGAGCAAATACTTTTGGCAATATAGTGTATGTTGCACCAGGCTGATCCACTCCCCCCAGTGGATAATTGTTTGAGATTAGAGAGATTAAAGAAAAGAAGAGATAGAGATCATTCATCAATAATCATGTTTTACTTCTATTCCCCTCTGTCCAGATTTCTAGGTGTTATTATAGGGTATATGTTGTTCAGGAGGTAAACTACAACAAGCAGCCTTTTATAGAATAACAGGACTGCACTGAAAAAAATCAAAATCTAGATAAGTAATTTTTTCTCAAAATAGGTGCATTTGTTCTTGGATTGAGGAGGTGAAAGTGACATTTTGCCAATGGAACAAGACAATTTACGTTTAAAATAAGAAAACACACTTGCATTGTCTCATTTCAAGTGCATTTTATCTAATTATCTTATTTTAAGAGTAAAAATATTAATTCCATTGGCAAACCACCTCATTTATCTACTCAAATTAAGGGTAAATACACTCAATTTAAGACATTTTTACTTATTTTTAGATCATTTTTCCAGTGTGGAGGGGGAAGCTGCAAGTTTAATTTTAAGTATGAATTTATTGTACATTCATTATTTTATAATGAAATAATATATATATAGTGTTTAGTGTTTAGTTTGTTTTAATGATTCTAACACCAATAAAGGTTATAATTCATTCAACTCTGTTACAATCTATTTAACTTGATACACAGCTACACTTTGTGCATAATAACACATATTAGGCTAATTTGTGTTTAACTGTATACAAAGTTTAGAGGAGAAGTAGTGGTATCTCATATGTTATGTTAAAGTGTATTTTAAGCTAGTATAAGTTACCACGTTCTACTTGGCAGTCAAAACATAACTTAGGGTCAAATAAAATAAACTTACAAAAACGTATTTTACACAATGAAGAGTTAACTAAAAGGCAACTGGAAGAATGTGTTAGAGTATCTTTGAATCAAATGAAGTAACTAAATATTGAATTACAATTCAACTTTATTTTCATTACACTGTCACAAGTAGAAAGCAACGAAATTAACTGTCTGCATTTAACCTATCCGCTTTGGGAGCTGTGGGCTGCCATTGTGCAGCAACTGAGGGGCTGTGTGGGGGGTTGAGTGTCTTGAATCCAGAGAACCAACCCCAAAGCACTGGAGATATTTGTAAAAAAGGAATCTCCTCACCTCTGCTTATGCGGCTGCAGCTATAAGGTTGGTCCATCAGTGGCTGTCCACATTCAGGTCAGGCTGGAAACATCAAGGACAGCCCTGTGTTTAAACCTTTAAGCTTTCTCTACCCAATTCTTTCGTGAGAAGAGATCGTTCAGAACAAACACTTTAATTAACACTTTATAAGGTTTATGTATTAAATGAGTAGAAAACAGGACAACAGGCTTTACAGAATTGTAATCTCACTCAGACCAGAGAGTAAGCAGCTGCCTCGACTAACAGTTAAAGCATTTCATACAACTCCAGTATCACACCCAGCCTCATCATCATATCATTTCATCATAGATATGTTTGCAGACATCCAAAGTTTCAAAGTTTCAAAAACAACCTGCTATTTCACAGGATGCATAGCTGCCTGTCAGAGAGGAAACCAAAACTTATTGGCTTATTTTTCTGACTAATCCAATCAGCGCACTTTTTGACACCCAGTCGCCTGGAACGCCCGTTGAACAGAGCATCCCTTTGGACGGATACGCACAGGTTTCACAAGCAACCTCCTCCCCACACCCCCCTCTCTCTTGCTGTGCCTACTTCGCATTTGAAGTAGTTCTAATCCGCATATGGTGTGGGAATTATTGTATTGTCTGCACGCTCTCAATCACATTAAAAAAAACAGATTCTCAAAACAGAGACTCACAGAACTTCCGGGAGACTTGGGATGTCTGTCTCTGCACATGTGGAGACTTCACTGGCTCCAGCCATAATAATACACAATGTTGTCTGAATTCAAATGCGCCATGACAGAGCTCTCTGTTAAGACTAAAGGCCAATTTATACTTCTGACGCATAGCCTCTGGAACCATCAAATCTGTCTATATACGCACCTCAAAATAATCCTGACTATATGTCAGACCGTCGCAAACCCACGCAGACCTCAAGCGGATGTGTGCAGACAAAAAGCAGCTGTGATTGGTCCTTGGTATGCCTTTCTGGCTGTCTGCGTGGTCTTCCTTCTTGATTCGGTGCCGGGGCGCCCAATTTTTAAAAACCGAAGAGTAATAACAACAATGGATAACCATGAAGAAAGGTTGATTGAGGAGGTTCGGAAGTACAGCCATTTGTACGATGCCTCAGACATGCTGTTTTGGAAAATAAACACTCCCGCCGGCGCCGCTGAAGAAGTTCTCGTGACCATCCGCCGAAGTTCTCGTGGGTTCTCGAATATGCTCCCGCTTGCGCTTTGGTGGGAAACTGCTGTACTCCCCTAGAAATTCCAGACCGATGGTGCAGAAGCATACCAGGGTTATACGGTTCGCAACCAGATGCAAGCAACGTTTGATGTGTGCGGTTGCAGAAGTATAATCCACCCTGTCCTTGTGCTCCCATTTCTTTCTTTCTCTTGCTTGGAAAAACATTAGTCATCACAGGTAACAGGCAGGTATTACTAGGGTTTAACAAGCACATGCATTAATAGTAAAATAATCCTAATGCATATGTTTTGCTTTTTTGCCTCCTTTTGCAGATAGCCCCCACCTTGAGCAGCCAGAGATCTTCCTTCTCCTTCAGACTGTCATCAACATCCTGCTACCCCCTCGGATCATCTCCACCTCCCGCACCAAGAACTTCATGTTGGACGCTTCGCCGGCTCACTGCTCTACACCTGGAGACACTGGAAAGGATCTGCGTAGAGAGGGATTAGCCGAGTCCACTAGCCAGGCCGCATATCTGGGTAAGACAACATCATGAAAACCTTTTACGGTTTATACTTAAATTGTTTGGCTTATCCGACTCCACTTTCTGTAGCTCTGAAGGTGGTGCTGGTTTGCTTCGAACGTTCTTTGGGAAACCAGTGGTATCGTCTGAGCCTGCAGGTGAAAGAGATGGCTCTGAGGAAGGTGGGAGGTTTGGCTTTCTGGGACTTCATCGATTTCATTGTGCGGACCCGCATCCCTATTTTCGTTCTCCTGAGACCCTTCATACAATGTAAGGTAAGCACCCAACAATGCAATGAAATGCTGTTGTAACTTAATGTTATTTAATAATATAGCATTTGGACTGTTATTTGTTGTTCCGTGAACACACACCCAACATGGTCAGTTAGCTCTGAATGTGGAATAAGTATTCCATTTACCCTGTGGAATAACAAAACAGACTGTAACACTTTATCGTCAATAGGAGACTTGGAGCAATCCAACACCGTATGGCCTAAGCTTTCTTGAAAGTTAGAAACTCTCCTTTCCAAAGCAGATCCAACAGATGTTGCAGGTCTGAACATTTTGAGTTTTGGATGAATCTGGATCCTTTCACGTGTTTACTGTTGTATAAAGCAAGCTTAAAGGAGAAGTTCGGTTTTTTACACTTTAAGCCCATTTTCTGTAGTGTCCAGGATGAAATCGAATGATTGACACCAAAAGTTTGACAATTGCTCCTGTCTCTGCTTTTTGGCTCATTTAGAATCACCCCCTGGCTGCTTTAGAATGGCTAGCATAGAGCATGTCCGATAATGTCCTTAAAACAACCTTAAACGTTCTTTTTTAAAAATATGCTACTCACCGGGTCGTCAGCGCTGTTCAATGACGTTCCAAAAAAAGTTTCATGAAGAAAAAACGTTCCTGTAGTGTTTTATTTAGCATTTTGTAAATCCCATTGAGTTCTGTAGGAATAGTCAATATTCCCCTGCCACCGGAAACGGAAATGGGGCCTGTTTACACAGTTGTAGTCTTTTCGCTTCACTCTGTGTACTCCGACGTCGAGAATCAAGAATCCACCTTTCGTATTCCATTTTCAGAGTTTTTTAAAGTGTTTAACAGAGACGTTAGCACCTCGACGTCAGAGTACACAGAGTGAAGCGAAAAGACTACAACTGTGTAAACAGGCCCCATTTCCGTTTCCGGTGGCAGCGGAATATTGACTATTCCTACAGAACTCAATGGGATTTACAAAATGCTAAATAAAACACTACAGGAACGTTTTTTCTTTACGAAACGTTTTTTGGAACGTCATTGAACAGCGCTGACGACCCGGTGAGTAGCATATTTTAAAAAAAGAACGTTTAAGGTTGTTTTAAGGACATTATCGGACATGCTCTATGCTAGCCATTCTAAAGCAGCCAGGGGGTGATTCTGCATGAGCCAAAAAGCAGAGACAGGAGCAATTGTCAAACTTTTGGTGTCGATCATTCGATTTCATCCTGGACACTACAGAAAATGGGCTTAAAGTGTAAAAAACCGAACTTCTCCTTTAAGGGCTGGTTATACTCCCTGCAGCAGTGTGTTGCAGTGTGTTTGTCGCAGATATTTTTGATTTATGCAGAATTTTGAAGCTCTGTCTGAGCTATGTTATTCCACGCCACAACACAAGAGGGACAATCAGGAACTAGCTGTGGGTCTAGATACGGCCGAGGCGGTGAGGAAGTGCGGGCAAATTTGTGTGACAATGGAGAGACATGAGGGCCAAAAAAGAGCGGGGATCAGGTGGAAAAAGAGTCCCAGAATTCTCATGCACCTCGCTCTTCTAGCTGGTCCATCTTCACGAGTCTTTTTCCACAAGGGCGGTCATAAAAACAAAACAAGCAGGTAAGGGACCAAACAGGATATACGCATAGTGATGAGCAGATGTAGATTTGACCAATCAGAGGCCTCCTGTCTGCAGCACTGTCTGCGGTCAACTACAATTTTGGAGAGGTGCACCAGAGAGTTTACGGTAGGGGCATTTTGCATTCACTACGACACACAATCAGGGACCTGGTTTCTGAGTATAAATCAGTCTTTAGAAGAAGCTAATGGTGATCACAAACTCCCAAATGCTTACATGTCTTGAGCTGTTATTTATAAAGCTAAAACAAACTTAATTTAAAGGAAATTGTTGGTGATATGTTTGCAATTAAACGTAATTAGCATATCAGGAAACACATAACACAAAAGTGCTTAAAGCCTTTTTAGGCTACGTTCAAACTGCAGGCCTTGATGCTCAATTCCGATTTTTTTATGAAATCCGATTTTTTTGCGTTGCCGTTCACATTTCCAAATATATGCGACTTGTATGTGATCTTATATGTTCACTGGAGTCATACAACCAAAGTGTCCCGGATGCGCAGTCGAGGATGCAATGACGTCACAGGCCAGCGTGTGCTGTGTTTACTGGAGTAAACATGGATGGTACTGCCGGAGCACATCTAGCGATCTTTCCCAACCATAAAACCTCAATCTTTTCAAGATGGTTAAACATAAATACTGCTCTCCGCATCATCGTCTGCCATGGTTGTTGTTTTTCTTGCAGCTTCTTCATAGCAAGACCCAGAATAGTGACCTTTGTCAGGTTTTAATGCCGTTCAGGTCGGATGAATGCGATCTGGCCGTTCAGACACAGGTCGCATTTGAAAAGATCTGATTCGTATCGGATTGATGTAGTCAAGTGGCCTGGGTCGCATCGGAAAAACTCAGATTTGTGTTGTTTAGACTGAAATGAAAAGATCGTATCCAGGTCACATATGGGCCAAAAAAATCGGATTTGGGTCACTTCAGGCTGCTGTGCAAACGTAGCCAAAGTCCCTCCATTTCTGCTAGCTACTAGCTCCATTGTTTCTTGACCTAGCTAATGAAGCTAGGTGGTCCTTCCCTAAAGTTTTCCCTCAGGAACAATGACAGAGGGTTATTGATTTCTATTTAGGCAAATCATTCAATGAAATTATATTTTAGCATATAATGTTTTCTTTACCTCTTTGGATTTGCATTAGAAATTGATTTGAACACATTCAAATTTCTTTAGATTAATTTTAAACTAATTTGACCTCTTTCCAAACTCTTCAACATAAACATTAGCTCTCAAACATCCAATTAGCTTTTAAGCTAAAATGGAGCAATTGAAATAATGTGGTCAAACAAATTCACAATACAAATCCAAGAGGTAAATTTATCATAATTGGTAAAATAATATCATAAAAAGATTTTCCTCAATCAGAATTCAATAACTGTTTAGATAACAGTTTCTTACCCTCTGTGATTGCCCTGAGGGGAATAATTAAAGTTAAGGACTACCTACCTTCTTTACTTAGGTTTGGTTTTCAGTCAATGGATCTCATAGCTAGCATATGTCTCTGTGATGTGTGTTTTTGTAGAGAGTGGGTAGAGGTTAGATTTTTTCATGTCTTACTGTGCAACATCATCAATCCATCAGTTTTTGGCTAATGTCTGTTAATCTTCAGATGTTTACAGACAAGACATTCTTTGGGGTATTCCATTGACTGGTTGCCAATATTTGACATGTTTTGTAGTTGCTGACCCAACCAGCTGACTCCCAGGAGGAGATTACAGCGCGCCACCACATTGCTGACCAGCTAGAGCGACGCTTCATCCCAAGACCTCTCTGCAAGAGCTCACTCTTTGCAGAGTTCAACAATGAACTCAAGATCCTCAAAGAGGCTGTACACAGTGGCTCTGGTTAGATAGTTAAGGTGTTATACATCTCTTCACTCAAAGCCTATCAATTTGGTCGATTAACTTGTATTTGTTCTCAATTCCAAAAGCGTACCAAGGAAAGACCTCCATCAGCACTGTTGGGACCTCTACATCTGCGTACCGGCTCAGTCTGGCCACCATGTCACGCTCCAATACGGGCACCGGCACAGTTTGGGAGCAGGATAGCCAGCCATCGCGCCAACCATCACAGGATACACTCAGCCGCACTGACGAGGACGACGAAGAGAGTCAGAGAAACTGCTTTTGATTTATGTTTGGCCTTCATTATTTCTGAAACAATCATCACTGTTGTGTAAAATACAGTTCCCTAAAAAAGACCACATTTTGGTTTAACATTAATTTTGCAAAATGAAGCTCCCCACCCCTACTTATGAATTATTTGTTGTTGTCTTACAAGTTTTTAAACCAGACATCTTGCTGTCCCACATTACTTGTACCATAGATGACTCCATCAGTATTCCCAGCGTTGTGAGCGAGCATGAGGCTTTCCTGCCGCGGGTAATGTCTCAGCGGCGTTTCTCCAGCCACGCCACCGGCTCTGCAACCTTGCAGCCTGAGAATCCCCGCACCACCATGCTGCCCAGTCAAAGGTATTATCCTAGCAAATAAACACACTATAGACATGTTCAGTGTGTGAAATTTAGCCATTTTCTCTTTTGTTTAATTTCTTGGCTAAATTAATGCTAATGAGGAGAAGAATAGGAAGCGTCCTCATTTGTTATTAAAGGTTTCTATCTTTTATATATTGGCCTTTTAGGTTGTAAATCCATACCAGAAACAACTCGAGTCCGAAAATACATCCTTGTGGGATTCCACAATGTTAACATAGCATTTTTCTTTTAGCATAACAATGCTATTTTCAATCAGGCAACTGATCGATAGGGTGTGGTTTAGTTACAATTTTTGTCACTTTTAAGTAAATTTACGTAGCTTACACAAAGCATTCGGGTAATTGTTTAAGTTTTAAGTAATTTTTATAAAACATTGATATGGTCTTAACTTAAGTGTTTTATTGTTTAATTTAAAACACACTTGTTTCCTCCGTTGTCAAATATAGTTTAATAAAACATTTCAAGATTTTTATTTCGATATTATATTAAGATATTTTCAACAATGTATCTGCATCGGCATGCTAATGGCCTGCTAGTATTGTAGATGCTAGAGTATACATAGAGTTTATGTGTCAAATAAAATACATTGGCATTGAGATATTTATATATGTATAATTTACATTAAGACTTTGAAAAAGTTAAAAAGGCATGAAGGGAGGAACACAGGTGTTGGATGTATTATTTAAATATAAAATCGCAGGGGGATAAGTGTAGATCCCTGAGGAACACCAAAGGGAATTATCTGATTACATTGAATCCCTAATGGATGCAAATCGTACACGACACTCTCTAATAGGTAATTGTTAAAAAAAAAACACGTACGTTACTTATGATTGTTTGTATACTATTTAACGATGGAGTACTAGCGCCAGGTTAGAGATTCTTTTTAATTTTTTACTTTGAGAATAAATAAGTAACATTACGACAAAAAAGTTGTAATATTGCAAAAATGAAGTCATAACATTACAAGAATAACGTTGTATCATTACGAGAATAATGTCGTAACATTACGCGATTAAAGTCGTAATATTACGAAATAAAGTCGTAACATTACGAGAGTATAGTTGTAATATTACGAGAATGAAGTCATCATATACAACAACCCTGTTTGAGAAAGAAAGCTTTGAGCTCCGTCCGACCAGCACCACCAAACAGCTACCTGAGTCCACTTTCACATTCTGCCCAATTTGATGCTGGTGTGTTAAAAGATTTTTTTCATTTGTCAATGTATAGCCAAAGTATAACTTCTCACGATGCTCGACATTCTTCATTTTAGTGAAGAAGTGCGTCTTGTAGGAGTTGTCATAAAATACAACCTGTTTCTCATAATTTTAGGACTTTTTTCTCTTAACATTACGACTATTCTTGTAATTTTATGACTTTGTTCTCGTAATATTGACTATTCTCGTTGCGACTTTTTTTATCGTAATGTTACGACTTTATTCTCGTAATATTATGACTTTATTTTCGAAATAGAAGAAAAAAATCTCTAGCCTGGCCCTAATACTCCGTCGTACTATTATACATCCCTTTAATAGGCAGTAGTAAAAACGTATGATGTTGAATCATAGGAAAAAAATAAAGAAATATGTTTTACACTATTTGTGTTTGAAATGTAGATTCTGACATGCAGGATTATATCCCAACCATATCCCACAACCACAGTCATATTTTTCTGTGTATATATCTGTAATTTTTTAACCCTTTTATTGTTTTTTAAAGAATGAAGCTGCTCCTTGACTTCTATTCAGGCCATAATTTAAACACCTGCTCCAGCTTTGGTTCTTTTCAGAGCAAAACGCCCCCAGCTTTACATCCTAGACACAAAGGGGGCCTTGGGTTGGTGATGGATCTCAAGTACACTCCCTAAACTGCCACTCTCCCCCCCTCCCTCCCCCCTTTTTACAGTGAACCAAATGTGCTAGATGAGTCCCAGGGCCTTCTGCAGGAGGGTAACCTCTCTAGGTACAGTGGCCCAATCTCTGTGTGTGTCCCATTGGTGCAATCTTTGCATCCGTCCGCCACTGAGAGGGGGCATGGCTTTGGGACAGCCTCCTCTGCTGGCCGTCGATCACTCATCCACATCTAGTCAAATCGCCTTGGCCCACTTCACCCCCCCCTCCACTTCTCTACTCACCTGTCTCTTCTTTCTATGTGGGTCCAGCGTTTCTTGTTTCTCCCCCTCCCCTCCCCTGTTTTTAAACTCCACACTGACCCTCATCTTTTCAGCTCATCTGGTGTGCTATTCTAACCAGGCCCCCTTCCCTCTCGCTCCCTAAACCTAAAGGGCCCCCCCAAATGGGATCCAGGAGCCCTGATCCTCCTGTCAGCTGTGGGTCTTTTCCAGTCGATGTGCCATCATAATGCCATGGTGTCTCATACTGTTTACATGTCTCTCAGGCTTCTTGCTGATCAAATTGGGCGTCCTGTTTGGGATACCAATCTGTAGGGGCAAAGGGGGAACTGGGGTGGCAACAACTCAATAACAATAGTTTTAGTACCTTTTTGTGCAACTTTTTAAAAAAGAAAATGGGAAAATCTCTTGCTGATATGTTAAATGAATTATATGAAATACATAATGAAAAAAGTGTTGCTGCTTCAGCCCCTACTACCCCCCCTGTTGTGTTATTTGGCGTCTAAAGCATAGCAGCACTTGTTTATTTTTCTGCACATGTGATTTTGTTGTTCTGTAGCATACTGTGTGTGTTGTGATGAGTAGTTTAGCAGCAGCATCTTGTTGTAATCAAAGGTGGGTTCGGTGAGCGAGCGCTGATGGTGCTGCGGTGTCTATTTGGGTCAATCACATTGATGTATTTTTGTGTGTTTCCCACATTTGTTTGTGCGTGTGTGCGTGAATGACATATACATATTCGACGATCCGATTGACTGGAACCAGGGTTGCAAGCGTTCAAAGTGAACCTGGACAACAGAACCTTCTACTCCAGGCCCCGTTAGGAAGAAAACGTGGACTCAGACAGGTATGGAAGTCGACTTGCTGGACCTGGTTCAGTAAAAATTTAACTCAAAAATCTGTCAATCTTTGTCAAAAAGTTTTAAAATTTGTTTTTTTTTTGCCATGAAATATAATATTTCTTAGACATTTTGAGATTTTGATTGTTCCATAAATATCACAGTAGGCACTTTAAGGTGATTACTCACTAACTTAAAGTGTAACTCACCCCATAATCCAAGTTTTTTTTTATTTAAATTGTATACATTTGGTTATATGGAGTGGATATTGTTCCACTATTGTTGTAAGCCTACATTTGAAGAACAAATTCAATACATAAATGAATTTGAAAAACTGCTCCCATCAGAAGAAAAGTTCCCAGACTAAATTTTCAGATTTTGTTTTTCCAAAATAAGTGTCATATTTATTTTTTCACATTTTATGTTTACAAATATTGTTTTGTTATTTATTTTATTATTATTATTTTTTTTTTACCGTTTTTGTATTTACAATTGATTATTTTAGCAAACATTTTTTTTTCAAATTTCTATTGTTCAGATTGAGTTTTACAAATTTCCTTTCTTTTAAATTGTAGTTTACTGATTACATTCTCCTTGCTGCTGGGGGCCGGCTTTCCTCTGGAGTGAGGAGTGAAAACACATTTCTATTGGTCTGCATGGACACTGTTTGCTTTGGGTTTGAAGTGAAGAAAATGTGATGAGTAAAACCCAATCTAGAGTCACCCAGAAATTTCAAAAAAGAAACTAAAAGTATAATATATACTAATAAAACAATTTTGGAAACCAACATTTTAAAATGTAAAAAAAAAACAAATTTGTAAATATATAAAATCTAAATAAAACATATATTTTGTAAATATATAATATGAATAAAATTATTTATATATATATATATTTTTTTTTTTTTTAAATAACAAAATGTGATAAATTACCAAGTAAGTTACTTTTTTTTTTTTTTTTATAAAATGTTTCTCAAAGTTTAATTTCTGCTTTTTATTTTTTTCTTTCAAATTTAATTTTTCAAAATGCCATTTTTTTTTTTTTTTTTTTTGCTGGCATCAATAATGGAGCAAAATCCCCCCATACATTCATGGAGTGCTATTGTAATGTCTGTTTATATCTGTAAGGTGTTTTTAGTTTATCTCAAATTAATCGCAAACCCAACTCAATGTTGCCAAGGTTAGTTAAATGCTGTTACTGGATTAAACGATACGTGCGGATACATTGAAATATCCACACGTTGACCCACATGCAGAAGCACTCACAGAGACCGAGAAAGTTTTAACAGTTTATTGAAAGATAACTGTGCAGAGATAGGAAAAACAGTTCTTCAGCTTGGGGCGATTCCTGCAGTCAGGTGAACTGGAAGCAGAAGCTCTAGGAGGAGATCAGAGTGGTGAGTTCAAGGACTGTGGGAAATCTGGCCGATTTTCTGAATACAAGGTAACTTGGACTCACAGTGGTTGTTGGCGAGGGTTTCTGAGATTTGTGGAGGCTTGGTCTGTAGAAGGTTTAGTTCGTTGGAGGGCGAACAGGCAGACTAAGGAGATCATGAGGAGCAGCTGAGCAGACTGACTGACACTTGGTTCCTGAAGTGCTCGGTGTGCAGATGAGATCTGTCTCCTTTTCTCAGTGTGACCAGTGTTTCCCTTCCAAGACTTGAAGGGCCAGCTTAAGCGTAAGCGCTGAAAGAGCTCAGAAGAAACTAGGACTCAAAGTTGACTCTGTTAACTCAGAGGGGCTAGAGTACCCAATACTGGCAAACACTCTGGCGAGGAAGAGAAGACAGTCTGCTCCTTAAATACTCCTCAGGAAGTGATGACCCAATAGGCTGCAGGTGTGAGGTGAGAAGAACAGGAACCCCTCCAGACCAGCAGAGGACAATAGCACCATCTAGTGGGTGCACAGTGGAACTGCCAAAGAAACAAAACAAACCCCACAAACTGGAATCCTAACACTAGCACTCAATTTTGGTTATATAAGGGTAGTCATAGAAGCTAGCTTTAGCATACTAATTTGTATTGCAGGCTCAAAGAATAGTGAAACAGATTTCATCCCAAACCGGCCCCTAAGCGCTATCCCTCAGTTTGCGCGTTTCCGCGGAGGGTGCGCCACATTAAGTACTGTCCCAAACCATGTAGTAGGTAGGGCGAGTGGAATTCAGCCGTAGCTGATCTTCATCACACTGACGAAAAATCTAAAGTTAGGTATAAGAAAAAAACGAAATTAATTCCAAAAGGTATGTTCCACTTTGAAACAATTTTATTTGACCGTATACATTTGTTTTAAGAAAGGGGCAAATGTTATATTTTATGTCACCATGCGCCACACAGCTACATGGGTCCTTACTGTGTTGCCTTAGCAACGACTCCTTTCTTTTTCTGTTGAAGGGAAGAGGCCATCCCATTCTCGCTTATACCCCCCCACCTTTAATGAAGGCTCCTTCCACAGCTGCTAGTGTGACTTTATTGCGAGTGAGACTTGATGTTTAAGTGTCAGTCGTTAGCAGTTTGGGATTGGGCCATAATGATGGTTACTGGACATAATAGGAAGATCAAGATCGGATGTAAATATCAGGTAAAATTGTAAGTATTGGGCCCTACTAATGTAAATTTTTTCTTTAGACAACTAATGGCAACTTTCATTCAACTTTAAAAAATAACTTTTGGGGAAAAACTCCATCGCCATACGAGCTTACCATCTCAAATAAAATGCTACCACGCATTGAAAGACAGTTTAATTCATTAGGGGGAATAAGTATTGAAAGCAAGCTCATTTCACTTATTTTACTTTTATTAACCATTATCTGAGTAATCATGATGGATAATGATCATAACCTCTGCTGTTTGAGTAACAGCCCCTCCCCTTATGTGAAATGAGGTCATGAACAAAAGCAAGGAAGCACCTACTTTAACCACGCTGCGCCACCACTAACGAATCCTTTCTGCAATCAGGGAACAATGATGTGACGTAGAGCTCTATGATTTCTGCTCAAATCAGGATTTTTAAATTAACCCTCTCAGGCTCAAATTAAGTTGTAGTTGCAGGAAAAATCTGATATTTGGAGAAAATTATTATATGGGGTAGTAATATACAATTCAGACTTTTTCTTGAGTGAGACCTTCACATGCAATGAATTCTGGGAAATTGCAGATTTGCAAAAGTGGCCCAGAGTGGTAAATTAACACTGAAGACTGAATCTGATATGAACGTTAACTTTATTTGAATATCACAAACAAAAAATTAACAAAACAAAATGCGGGAAAAAAAAAATTTCACACAAAATTGGAGAAAACTTTTTCTTAAACTTTTTCTCCACCGACATCTCAAAACCTCTTGAGAAGGCCGTTACTGTTAAACTCAAAATATAGGCAAACTTGTTGATAAAGCATGTAGCATCCATTGGTACCTGTTTGGGTACACGTTGCGAATCCACAACATTGAAATCGAGATGCCTCTGGTGAAAAACCCAGAGGAGATCAAATCTACTAATTGGCATGTGTCATATCTGTACACATTCATGATTCATCTTATGTAGTATTGATTTCAAAATAATGGAAATTGGTAGTGATACTTACATGAAATTGATGCTTAGAAAATCTGTTTCAGTGACACCAATGACTCAGCCATGTTGAAAGGGAGTCAGCAGTGCTATCTGAGAGAAACTGTTTGTTGCAAATGCACAACTAAGTCCTTCTGTCGTACTTCTGAGGAACAAAAGCTCTTAAAATATGGATGTGAAGTAATTAGCTAAGTGGTATTTAGCTGTTGCAAATTTGCAACATCTGCCTGGAAAGGATAAACTAAAAAAGTTAGCTTAAACGTCTAATGTCTAAGGTCAATTCTAGCAACTGGAGTGATTGATGAACATGTAATTCCTATCAAGAGGTGCGTTATAAAAGCGCTGTAATGCAAAGCGATGTCACGGAAACCCTACTAGCAGTGCGGCAGGAAGGATTATGGTGATTACAGCAAGGCAACATCTGTGACGGATGCTGGAGTTGATCAATTTGAAGTTTTCTATCTTTTCGTGTTGGACAACCAACCAGCATAGAAAAATATTTCACAAACAGATTTAAACAGATTCATGTTTCTAGAAGTTATGGTGTCCTCCGGGCAATGATCTAAAAGGATTGAGTACAGTGACAATAAACACATTTGTCATTGGTGTTTTACAGCTGCGGCGCCCACTGCTGTCCATTCCAAAGACTGAGCCGCGAGGTCGTTCTGGAGCTCGCCTCTCCACGACTCGAAGGAGCATCCAGCCTAAAAACAAACCTCTGGGTAACGCCGCGCTCTCTGTGTTTCTCTGTGCATAGATGACACGACAAAGACAGGGCGGATCGGTCCGAGTCACCCAAACTCTCTTCTCAAACCTCCCATTTGAACATCCTTTATAAAGCCCCAGCACCCAACCCTACCCCCCCCCCCCCCCACTCCCCCTGTCTGAACCTCTGTCTTTGTCCCAGAGCTGTATGTTCTACCACTTGCCACCAGACTGACTCTTGTCACTTTGTTCTGTCTCATGCTTTTATGTTTCGATATAAAGAAACTTTATTGGACTGTGAAGGTGAGACACAATCGTTAACCCTCCACCCTGCAATAGCCTGCCCCCTTCTCCCCCGCCTCCTTTTTTTTTCTTTATCTGCAACCTCACCCAATAGGACGCTCTGCATGTCTGTCTTGCTTCCCCACCCAGTACCCTACTTCCCACCCCCCTGTCCTTCCACTGAACCTCCACAAAATTTGGTGATGCTGATGTGTTAGCGAGAAGCTTGCTGCTGATTCAGATTTTTTAAAATCGATTTTAACCCTGTGTGTGTGTGTGTGTGTGTTTACAGCACATGGAGACCAGAAGAGGTCTGTGACCTTTACGGAGACTCAAGGCCAGCAGGCGTCTCCCAGTACTACAGAACCTCCAGGTGAAAGCAGGAAGTCAAGCCCAGCGCCATCAAAGTCCCCCACACTGGAAGTGCCCTCTGTTACCACGGCTACCATCAAAGCTGATCTGCATGGGCCTGCAAACACACAGGTAGGATGCTTCAATAAAAATAAAAAAAGATTAAAAAAGGCCAATTTTGACCAATAAGATCCAAAGTTAACCATTAGAAAGGGGTTTATGGTCAGGGAAAGAATTAAACATAAAAAATAACCTCTAATAGTAAACAATACATTTTATTTCTCACATTTGATCGCTAATTAAAGTTTTCTTGAAAGCTTCCACTGTTTGACACATTAACAACAAGGCAATAAAATCAAGGTTTGATAACATCGATCTGTTATAATCCTGTAAATGGAATAAACGTTATTAAAATAATGAGCATTTTGATACAGGCAGATTAAATGCTAATTAAAAAATATTCTAATGATTGAAAAAGGAAGATTAAATGTTGTCTAATACTTTTTGACATACATATAGTACATATTTCTAGATATTATGCTTGATGTAACATGGAAGGGTATGAGTTTAACTCCTCCCAGCCACTAGGGGGCGTACCTGAGCTCACCCGCCTCTTCCTTCTGCTCTGTATGCCGGTGTTCTGTCAGATCAGCATACTCATAGTCAATACGAATGCTCTATAACTGTGGAGTCGGCACAAATTTAAGAGAATAAGATACAGGAAGTCTACTTGGCTACTTTATTTATGCATCATATGATAAACAAAAGGTTGTAGTTGAAGGTAAATAAACAAACGTAGTGGAAAAGCATACCAAAAGTCAAGTAGGCTAGTTTATTTATGCGTGATGAAATAAACAAAACGTTTTAGTCCGAGGTAAACAAAATTTAAAGCTAAACTGCTTTAAAAACAGACATCCTCGCTTTCTGTGTTCACTTCTTTACCTAACCTGTCAGATTGTCATTACTATCATGGATATGATGTTACTGTTACTTTTACTATGGGTATGCTGCCTTTCTGTTATGATGATGCCTTTATCGCATGTTTATTGACCAAGCTAAGGGCTTAGCGGTAAGGCTAAGGCAACAAAGCGTGAATATAAAAACAAAATACGGATTTTAGCTGAACTTAAACTATGACTGTATCTGGTGGATTTTAGGTTCAAATGTCAGTTTTCTTCACTCAGTAGGGCGGCGCAAAGTACTCAAGAAATTGATTTAAAAAAAATGAATTCATAAGAATTTAAACAACTAAAGTAGAAAGGAGGGTGCAATAAAACAATTCATAAAAATAAATGTTCAGCTTAAGGTAACTGACTAAATCTGAATGCTACTCAGCTCTAGAAGTTCATCTATGTTTGAAAATGTTTAAATTTATTGATTTATTCCTGTATATTTTTTTTACAGTAAAGTTGATATGTTTATTCTGCACTATTCTAGACTATTCTATTCTTTTTTTTTGTCATTTTAATGAAAACATTGTAACTTTGACCTTTGGTGTTTGAAAGAAATTCTTGTCATAGTGATTTTTATATATATTTAATGTTAGCGAGGATTTTTTTTTCTTGTTTTCGTTTCATTTTCTAAAGTTTGCCTTTTTTCATTTTGCTTTTTTGATTAATTATAATCAGATTTTTTTTATCTTTAATTCTGTCAACATTATTTCTAATATGGATATGTTTTATGTCTTAAGCTTGATTTTATTTGTATAAATATCTTTATTTTATAAGTAAGAGAATTTTCTAGAAATAATTTAATAAAAATAAAAAACAGTGTTTTCCTAAATTTTTATTTATTTTTTCTTCATTTAAATATTTGATTTATTATAATTGTTGTTTTGATTAGTTTTAAAACAGGACTTGCAATATGTCACTTTTATTTTACATCTTTTTTTTGAAAGTTATAAAGAATTTCAATTAATTTAAATCAATCATCTAAACAATTTCACCACAAATTAAATTGTACTTCTTTATTTTAATTTTAAAGTTAAATTTAGTATTATATTTATCTTTTATTATATTTAGTCAAATAAATAAAAAGCACAAAAAACATATCTTTTTGTGTATTTTGTCATTTGTTTAGGTGTTTATTTACTATAAGATGTATATTTATGTGTTCATAGATTCAAATAATTCTTTGCGTGATCCCCTTGCAATTACCCTACGTCCCCACTAGGTGGACCCAGTGAGTTAGTAGGAGGTAATCAGCAGTTTTGCTCTGTGCTGATAACAGGATGCTGTTATATTCACCCCTTCAGGTCCCTTCAGCCATGAGCAGCAAGGAGAGGAGGGAACAGTGGGGGCTCCGCAGCAGCCTCTCCCCTCCCCCCTCCTTCTCCCGACCCTCCACCCCCACGCCCCCCTCCCGTACCTGCTTCCCTCTCCCTCTATCTCGCACCTCTTCCCCTCTCCCCCCTCCGCTCCCAGTGCTGAGTGCGGCCCCCTCCCCAGGCCCCCCTCCACCGCCGCCTCTGCCGCCCAGCATCAGAGAGAGCCCCGGGGACGAGGACACGACGGCGCTGCTGCCCCGCGGCGATGCCCTGCAACGGCTCAGCGAGGACGAAGGCACCGAGAACCCGCTCCTTGCCCCTTTGCTTTCGCCCAAGTCGCCCCGACGCTCCCCTCGTCGGTTTCCTCTCCCTCTCTCCCCCGTTGACCTGGACCTGGACGAGTCCCACGTGTGAGAGGAATGGGAATATTTCCTGACGTGACAATCAGAGTTTAAAAAGACTAAAGTCGGGGATGAATGTATATCAGCTGTCAACTCCACCGTAGATTTAACTAATTAAAAATCTTAATATTACATTTATTTCCTTCACAAACTCAGAGATTTATTTTTTAGAATATATTTTCAGTCATATTTATATCATTATTTAATATTAAAGCTACTAAATTAGCACTTTTAAAACAGAGACCTGTAATATCTAAATCCATAAACATCCCTTCCTCTTTTATTACACTTTTTGATGTCACGCAGAAAAATGTGTAGTTAATCACAGAATGTATGGAGTAAATTTTGTTCCATTATTGTTGCAAAAAACGCATTTTTATAATAGAAGTAAATTAAATGCAAATCACAAATGAAACTCTTTAAAACTTCTAAACAAAAAAAAAATTCAATTTTCTTAAAACAGATTTTATGATTTCATATTTATTTATTTTTTGAGATAAAGTTTTACAAATTGCATTCTTTTCAAATTTTACAGATCACATTCACTTTACTACGAGCCCGAGACAAACATTCCCTCTTCTTCGATAAATATGTTGTCGCTAACGACCAATAGAAATGCATCTAAGCTCCTCACTCCCGCCCCTTTGAAGGTGAAGAGAAATAAAATATTAAGATTTGTTAAAATATTCTGTAGAAAACATAAAGTTTGAAAAAGTACGTTTTTCAAAGTTTCATTTCTATTTAAAAAAACATATTCTTTTCAATAATAATGGAATGAAACTCACTCCATAGATGGATGCTCTAACCCACCCTCCAGGTTTCCTATTAAAACTATAAATATATTTTAAACATTTTAGTATCTTATTATTATAGAGTGCAATGTGGAAGTGTGTCTCTTAAAGCCATTTAAAAGAGAATAAAGATTTAGTCTTTTCTAATTAATTGTCATGAACTCACATAAGCTTAAGTGTTTAAGACTTTGTACATTAGGAGTGAAAATGTTTCCATATTTATCTGTTTTGCACATTCAGTCATAAAAATCAACATTTGAAGACATCGAAGCCAACAGATTATGTGAAACCTTCACAGTTGGCCCATTTTTCAGAGGAAAGCAATATTTAATCAACTCACTGCCCCTTTAGATTGATTTATTCAGAGTTTATTACCCATTGATTGTGTTCTAATAGGAATAAAGTAATGGAAAATGCAAAAAGATGAATGAAACCTTGAGGATTTGTTGATTGTCTGTGTTTTGCTTGTTTCTGCCGCTGCTGTGTGTCTCTTCATATCGCGTTCGTCACCAATCAGTGTAGCGTCTCTGAAATATATCAGTTGTCTTGATGTTCGTGTCTTTGTGATGTCAAAGACTCTTAACTGTGATAAATCCAGCAGTAGACACCTCTTCGCTCATTTCATGCCTTAAAAGGGAAACGTTTCCGGACGCGGTTCGAGTCGTTTTGTGCCATATTTCACACCTATGCACTGTGAATGTGATTCATTTGCTGCTTTCTCTGTTTGCCGGTTTTGTAACCTGTAATCATGGCTGCCTAAGACACAGTTCAGCCTCTATTTACTGAGACTTGATTCATTTCACACCCATAATGTCAAATTTTGGCTGTTATGACACTTTTTGCCATCATGAGGCAGTATATTCCAAACCTACCAGTCACCGAGGGCATCAAAAACTTGTTGAACTGTTGTGTCTTGTTAAATGTTGCATATTTCTGTCCTATTTGATCAAACCCTGAAAATTCCTCCAAATATATAAATAAAATATAATTTATGGCGTGTTTGAACATTTTGTTTCCGATTAAAAGGGCACATTTGCTGTGGATCTCCATTAACCAGTGGAATACATTGTAAGGTTAAACTTCTAGCTACAAAGTAGTTTCAATGTTTTTGAATGAGTAAAACATATTATGAGCCTGTGTTAGTTTTATTTTACTAGTTTTAGTCAAAGGTTGGAGTTGGACATTAATGAGCTAGAGGACCAAAGAAGTCTGGTCCATAGTGGGCAGTAAAGGTTCTGCTTCTGATCTGGGTTACAGACACTAATGTGTACTTTAAGGGATCTTTTGAGTCCATGCCTCAAATATCTAGGGCTGTTTTTAATGCAACCTATAGAAAATGAGCTCCGCAATGCTATGCCTGATCCATGTAAAAACTCTGACTATTTAACTTAAAATGTAAAGTCTCTAGAAGTTCTTTTATTCTGAAAAGTTATCTGCAGAGGATCATATAGAAAATTTTAATAAATAGTCTACAGAAATATGGGACCAGAATCTAAGACGTTTAAGGAAACAATGATGGCAGCGCCTCACAAAATTAGCACGCTTTGCTTGACCCATGTAAGTATTGCACTTGAAATAAAAAATTAGGATCTTTTAATCTGAAAAGTTTCTTCCAGAGGCTTCTGTAAACGGGAACAAATCATCTGCGTAAAGATTGTTTAAGAGTCAGAATGGGACGGATCCTGGAGGCCTCACTCTGCAATGCAACACACCTGAGTTCAAGCCTTTTGGTATCAGGACCTTTGAGATGTCTTCCACCTCTCATTTCACCCCATTTCCTGTCAGTCCACTTTAAAAATAAAAGACATTAGTGCTGACAAAAATAACAAAGTTGTCCCTAAAGGAATTTTAATCATTCAACTACTTTCAATGTGAAAAAATGGCATAAATATTTGAATGAAAGCACATTGCATTTAAACTTCAGCTTTATTTACACAGTATACTTTGGATATAAAAAAAATGCATCAAAATCATTACATCACAGTTTCATTCATGACATCAGCAGAAACAGACAAAGAGTTATTTAGCATTTGGAATCGAGCATTGGTTCAGAAGAGACCTTTTCATTGTCATCTTCATACTCTGGAGCTTCCTCTGGTGGTGAAAGGACTCCCCAAGCCTTCACTTTGAACACATCCATACTCTCAGGAAGGATCCCCTTGTTGAACAACAAGGCGGTGACATATGAAATCGTAACAATTGTGACCAGAGACATCAGCATGCAGATGGTCTTAAAAGGCCAGCGCTGTATATAAACGCCATCCTCAAACGTCCCATCTGGGAAGCGAAGAATTGCAGGCAAACTGAAGACAGGTTCCCCGCATAGAACCCTCATAACAAAGGCTATAATGTAGCCAGCCGTTGCACCATAACTGTTAGAAACCTTGATGAAGAGGACGCAGATGAGCTGGGGGAGCATTATGGTGTAGGTCAAGTCGGAACTCAGGATCCAAAAGGCCAGAACTCTGCTGTCCACATAGGTGAGGGACGTTCCTCCAATTCCAACAACCAGGATGGTGATGCGGATCACCCACTGCAGCTCCCTATCCGAAACCTAAGTATGAAAGCAAACTGTGATTGATTATCTGGGTTACGCTTTAGTACTCCCATTAGTACGTCCTCTCTTTCTACCTGATTTCTGATCATCTTGTAGATGTTGGTGGTAAAGATGGAGGTTGCAGCCAGCAGACAGGAGTCCGTGGAGGACATGGCAGCACCAGCAATGGCTCCCATTCCCACCACGAACACAGCCGTAGGGGTCAGATGTAGAAGGACGATGGGCAACACCATAGCTGACTCTCCTCGCTCGTATGGAGACGGCGATCCATACGACGTCATGTTCCAGTCTAACAGGAGACCAGCCTTTATCAGGGTTCTTACAGAAATCAAAGCAGGGAGTTCTAACCACTGATTTTGGTTTACCTGTTGAAGCTGCGACGGCACCAATCAGCACAGGTGGAATCCCCAAAATGAGCACCACTCCTGCCGCTATGAAGCACATCATCCTGGCTGTGAAGGTAGAGGTGGACGAAAGGGTTCTTTGGTGGAAGTCTTGGAAAGCCAAATTTCCAACGCTCTGGAGATAGAGGATAGAAATTCAGAACATTTATGTTAACATGACTATTGATGGAGTGAATTTTGTTCCAATTTTGTTACAAAAAGCACAAATTCTGTAAATAGAAATGTGAGTATTTTCACTGTTTTCTCAGATTTTATTTGAAATTTTTTTTCATATTTTCTCTTTTTTTTGACCATTTTTTTCTTTTAGATCGAGTTTTAGAAATTGATTTTTTGTGTGTTTTATAGATCCCTTCGAAGCCCAATAGAAACGCTTGCTCTTGACCAATAAAAATGCTGTTTCTAACGTCCATGCAGACCAATAGAAATTCATCTTCACTTCAGAGGAAGGATAACCCCCAGAAGTGAAGACAATATAATCTGTTAAAAAGCAATAAAAAAAAAAAATCTAATTGATAAACACAATCAGAAAAACAACAATTTGGAAAAAAGAAATTGAAAATGAAACAAATCTGAGAAAACAGCATAGGTCTTCTCAAAACCTTTTTTTTTGTTAAAACATTTTTTTTCTATAGCGCCAAATCACACCACATGACATCTCAAGAGACATTAAATCAATCCATACACATTGGTTAAAGGTTTCTATCTAAAAGCCCAGTGCATGCTTAACATACGAAAAATCTGGCAAAAACACAGGCATACGTTGGATAAGTTATGAACACGCTAAAACACGCTGTCACGTCAACATACATATGCCAGCATATATGGGCCATAAGTTACAAGTAAGTTATCTGATTGTTGGCAAATGTTAAATGTAAGTTACTCATAAGTCGTAGCGTCCAGCTTATCCAAAACCTATGAGTAACATATGCGTAACTTATCAAGAACTTATCTCCAATGCATATCAATTTGTCTGACGTGTTCTAGACGACTGCTGAACGTGTTTCTAACTTACAGCTACTGTATAATTGCGTATTGGCATCATTGTGGTATGAAAGGCCTAGCCTGGGTGCCATTCCGAACTTAGTCCCGCCCACAAGGTTTGAGGTCGGGAAGTTCGGTCTGGCATTGCTCCATAGTAGCGCGAGTATGATCGCCCACCCTCTGGCGATCCAATCAAATTTTCAGGGCGGGCTTTATACGATGATGGACAGATGATCAACAGTAACATAATCAACCATTTGACCAAAGCGCGCTTGGGTGACAACAACAATGGCTGCTGCCGGAGAGTTGAGGTGAGTAGATTCTGCTATTAGGTCTGTTCTAGAAGATATCGACAGCAAATTAATTTTAAAAGAGGAACAGAGAAACGCGATCAAGTCTCATCTTCTTATTCTAGGCGTGCAACTGCACGCTTTGATTTTTGTTGACAACAACTATGCCTCGCTTAACATACGTCACGCACTCCGTTGCTGTTATTGGTTGTAGGTCTATCCAATTGAGTGCAGAGGCATTTTTTTTCCTGGTTCGTTCAAAACACGCCCCATAATCACAGCTCTATGGAGCAGTATCAGACTCATATTCTGACTAGAATTGAGTAAGACTACGTCAGGCTATGAAAGGCCATTCACAAGGGGAAACTCTGTTCTCCTCCAGACTTCATCCCCATCATAGGGTGAGTGAGAAGGTGAG